AGTAAAGCCAAAACCTTAAACTTTGACATTATGTAAATTTTATTTTTCCATATAAAATCTTACAGAATATATAGACATACATATATTCAGCTAATGACGGCTAAATATTTAAGTTCCACTTCCCCCAAAAGTTCCAACTCATGTATAAACAGGAAGATTGAAAATGATCAGTCATTGTGCGTGGCATCAGTTTCCTGTGTTTGTGACAGTTTGGTGCCTCCTGACATGCTTACATTGCCTTGGATCTCAGCCTCGTGCTCTCTGGCTTTGGCCCGCAGCTTAGCAATGCTGCAGGAGCGGAGCTCCTCTGAGCTCGGCCCCTCCGGCCTCTCCCACTTCCCCAACTTCTGGGTTGTCCATGGATAACCTTCAGCTTCCTGTTGTTTCTCCCAGTGCTCACCGTCCGATCTCTCTGTGTGTTTTAAACTCTTGCTCGCTTTTGGAGATGTTTCATCGTTGTCCCTTTTTACATAAGGCCCTGGACACTGGCCCTGGAGTTTCAGTTGCCGTCTCATTTTTGCACGGCGGTTTTGAAACCAAACCTTGGAATAAATGAAAGAGATATAATATATGAATGTAAATAACATGGAGATTATATAGTTAAAAAACAATAGTTGAAATGTAACTGCACTAAACAGGCTCTGATGTATCTGTAGTCAAGAATTACTTTCATACTGGTATCAGCTGAAACTGTGATTACATTTTTGTTGGGACAGAAAGGAATCTTGACCCATATGGATAGCAAAAAATTACAGATTAATCTAGTCAAGTTATTGTATTCATATAGAATAAAATACTATTTTTTCTCCAGGCATTTTCCTTTATTTGGTGTGCAAGATGATTTCACTGTGAATTATTGTAAGTATTGTCAAACATGCCTATGATGGAAAATAAACAGTAGGGCTAAAGGCAAATTTGCACACTGTGCGTAAAAATTAATATCAGCTAAATGAGTACAAAGTTAACAACTCCAGCAGGAGTTCGTCGTGCCAATCACCTGGACTCTGGCCTCAATAAGGTCCAGTCTGAGGGCCAGGGCTTCCCTCATGAAGATGTCCGGGTAGTGGGTGGTCTCGAACGCCTTCTCCAGCTCCTCCAGCTGCCAGCTGCTGTAGTTGGCCCGTGCACGACGCTGCTTCACTGGCCTCTGTTCATCTGGAAAGCGCACCACAAGCACCAATTACACAATCGCCAATGGGTGACAAGGAACTAATGGCTCTAGATTGGATAATTAGCACAGCAATCATTAGGCCCAATTTAACACTGCTTGATAATTGATTGTTAGTTACGAGCTGTTAGTCAGTCTTTTGTAAACATTTACACTGCAATCAGATGGTGCTCACAGACTGTCTTTGAGACTGGTCATACTGTGCCAGTTTGGCTACGCTCTATCTGAACAAGTCCAGTATGATACAATCAGTCCCATTTTGGCTACAGCAGCTGTGGCTTGAACTCACCTATGCTCTCTGTGAGTGGCCCAATCCTGACCGCCTGTGTGGCCATTAGCAAAGCTTCCTTGCATAGCTCTGGCTGCAGATAATTCCTCAGGGATTCGTAGCTGATAAAAGGCCCCGGGATCAGGAACTGAGGTTGAGAGCCCAGTCTGGCTGGGAAGGCAGGAAAAAAATGAGCTGCAGGTGAATGGAAAACTGCAGGAAGGAGAGAGGATACCAGCTGCCCTGCGCCAAACATGTCCAAGTCCAATATTTAACGTCAGTCCACTGAAAAGGGTCTGGTTGACTTCTAGAGGTTTGCTGGTAGAAATGTGAAATGCATTCCAAGGTCCAGGGTACAAATAGAAGAGAAAATTAAAGAGCTACGATTGTCCAGCAGATGCATCCACTTGGTTGTCAGAGCTGCTGTTTGCTGCTGAGGTGCTCAGCCCAGGTACAAGGTGTTGCCTGAAGAGGAAAGGTAAGACTTGAGCGGTGGAGGTGGGCTCACCTTAGCTTTCTTCCCTTTCCCTCCAATCATCTTCCCCTCTTTTCCCAGTCACATGACATCTAAACAGATGTAGGTTTATGGCCTAAAAAAACAAAAAACCTATGATTTGTTTCTCACAGGATTAATAGTATCACCCCATCACTATTTACTGTATTTGTCATCTCTTCTCCAACCACATACATCCTGCAGTCTTTTTCAGACATGCCCCAAACCTCCTCTCACTCTCTCTCGCTCTCTCTGCCTTTCAGGGACAAGTTGCAACATCTTTGGCTCCTGAAATTTCAGTGAGTGAGACGAATGGCAGCTCAGTAAGTAGCAGAGATGTTTATGTTCACTTAGGCGCATACGCTTCAGACAACTAGTTCAACGGTTGTCAGATATAATAGCAACAAATTACTGTACAGGAGACATAATAAAAGCAGTTGTTCAGTTTTGTGGAATGGAAGTAAATACAACGGTAGCTGAACCTGAATAGCAGGTCTCAGTGTTATTGTTTTTGATTTTCTTCTTCTTCTTTTTTGGCTGTTCCCTTTCAGGGCTCACCACGGTGGATCAGATGCCTCCATGCTGGTTTGAGTTTATTGTTCTTAGTAAATGAATGCTGTTATGTTTTTTTAACAACAGCAAGGATAGCTGTACATCATGCCACTCATCTTACACAGTAGCAGAAGTGCAGCACAAATTATTTTTACATGATAAAATAAACTATTTAAATATTCAAATAGATAAACAAAGTTAGTTAAAATGTCTAAAAAAAAAAAAACAATAAAAACATAAAGTATTTTTATTGTGTGCATTTTGCTTTATCCTATACATATTCTATACTCTATATCTTAGACATCTTCTTTTGCAAAATTTGGTCCCGGACGGTGTTTTTTTGTTTGTTTGTTTACAACTAATTTACTAATTTACAATTTTGGCAGACTCCCATTATAACTCCTGAAAATCTAATGTAATAATCTCAGTCTTCTGTAGATGACTAAAGATCAAAAATAATAACTTGTCTCACCTGTGTTTGCAGTACTTTGTATTCTTCTGGGTTTAAAAAAAATGCTAGAAGAAGCCTATTAAGGTAATTTTTCAAACCTTTATTCTCGCACTCTGCTGATGTTTCTTGCATTTATAGTTCACAATACTGCTTTGTTGTATAGCCCATCTTCCATTTGGCTTTCTGTTAGCAGACTGCAGGTTTCATCCACAGGTGGGTGGGGTTTCCCTGCCTAAAATGACCATAGTAGGTATATCGACTCTCGCTGATATCATACAGAGCCAGTGTTTGAAAAAAAATGGTACATAGGTACATTTTAGCATGTTATCTATATAGGTTAGTTAACATTTAAGATGATAAACTTAAAGGTTTAAAACTTTTAAAAGCACATCATCAACAGCTGCATGAATTGGAATACATTTTATAACACTTCTTTAAATGAATGGTCTCCTGTGGATGTTTGAAATTCTAGCACACTTTAAATGGCGATCATAAGTACTCTAACTGCTAATTCACTGTGTTAGGGTTACTTGCTTAAGGAAGTAACCAAGCGTCCATAACAAAGGGTATCTACATGCAAGGGTAGGTTTCTTCAAATGTTTAAGGTTCTCATATTATGCGGAAAGCAACCCTCATAATAACAACACTGTCACTTGTTCACTAAACCAGAATCAAAAATGCCACTTTTCTGACATCTGATAAAATACAAGTTTTAAAGAGGAACCAAATTATCAAATATATCTTTTAAAAAACATTGCATCAGAAGGATATGTCCTTGATAGCAAATCTTTAAAAAGGCAATTTTCTATTTTTGTGTATTTGTATTCTGTCACTTATCCCCTATAAAAACCCACGTTAGAAGCGAACTAGAGAGACATAAAATCTAAAAATGTTCTGTAGTTACAGCAAAATAGTTTTATCATATCATGTGTTTGGTAATGATAATCTTACTTCCACAGCTGTAAAGTATGTAGTCAGTAGTCAAGCCCTGATGGGATTCTTCCATCTCAGATCAAAGCTAACACATCAACACATTAACAGCCAAGGCACGAAGATTATTAACACTTTTTTTTTTTAAAAGCAAGACAGCTGTAGCTTAGTGGTGATGGCTCTCTGATGAGATGATCTCCAGCACTGTCTGTGAGAATTAAACCCAGGTGTGTCAATTAATCCAAAGTTACACATCACCTAACAACATCTCTTTCTAACTGCTCGTCAGCTCAAACGGTGGTGAAAACACTCCGCTGTCAGTGTTGTCACCACAGAGCTGGCGGGCTGAGGTGGCTTTGATCAGCCTGGGATCTCTGCAAGAGGCAGCTGGTCAGAGCTAAGGTGAGTCACAGGATGGTCATTCCTATACGTGCTGTGAGGACTGCAAATCCATCACCTGTGTGGCCCTTTCATCTGCACCTGTTCAAACACTAAATTAGGAGGCAGGATTAGAGGTTGAGCAATACGGATGTCTTTACAGCCTGAGTTGTACCTGAAAGCCAGTATTTAGGTGGAGTGTCTTGTCTTGAATTGCAGATAAAAATTGCTCGTTTTCCCTACATTATGATTCCATAACAAAAACCTAACAGCAATGAAATGTCAGCTAATAAAGCATTTTAGCATCTCTTTAGCAATCAAATCACCCCAACCCAAAGGAAACAGCACTTCTAACTGCACTATTAATCAATATGAATGATCTATCGTTTTAAGTGAGCCAACTCAACAATTAACAGGTCTTAGCACTACTTTCTACTCATGTGGAAGCGTATGCATGTAGGGATGGGAAAGGACAGACGGCGATTGAGAGAAATAATTTCTTGGGTTTGCAGGGAAAAGGAAAATAGATTAGAAGTGTCTGGTTTGAGCTGTGGCTAAATAAACACTGTGTGTGGCGGGACTGACGACTGAATAGCCATTCTGTTTGTCCCTGGCACACAGATAGTTACAGGGATTTCTGGATTGTCTGAAAGTAGACCCCTTTTCCCACCCTCAAACTACTTCTGTTTGTCTGTGCCGGGGTCCTTTAATGCCCATTGATCCAGATAATCAGGGACAAGATTGGTGAAAAACCAGCGGGGGAGGTTCTGACAGTAGTTGCTCAAAAAGCCTGATAGTGGATAATTGAAGGAGGCATTAAGACAACAATAGTAATGGCTAATGCCAGCCTGTATTGGAGTTCCACCTTCTTGAATGACAACACTGGAGATCCACAGCTAAAGTGGCAATCATTGTATTATTAGCAGACCTTCAAGTGAAGGGACGGACTACACATTATCTGAGATTTTAGTAAGTCACCAGTGGGATGCTCTTCACGTGTCTTTAGCTTGAAATTGGCATGTTTGAGCTTGAAATTATTCATTGTGAAAGTAAAAAAAAAAGAAAAAAAGTAAAATCAGTTTTTTGGTCTCAAAGTGAAGTAAAGTGTTTTGTTTCTTCCCTTTCAGTCACACTTGAATTTAAAACCAATCATCAACTCTATCTGACATAAAGAAGCAGAAAAGTACTATTAGACAAAAATCATTATTCAGATTTGAAATTTGTTTACACCTGAAAGCCAGTGTGACTGTTATATAGCCATCTGGCAGCAGTGTATATAAATTATGAACACAACATGGATATACAGTCATGGTACAAACAAAGTCCACCGGCTGTCTCTTCAAAGTTTCACATATCAGGACATAATATAAAATTATGTAAACCTTACTAGGTCTTAAATTAGGTAAATACAATCCCAGACGAACAACGCTTGACATATTATGCCATGTCACTATTTAACAAAGTCAAAATACAGAAGCAGTGTGTGAAAACTACAGTACAACTCATGAGTCAACAGTTTACAAAAACACTTCTGGCAGCAACAACGTTAAGTAATTATTTCGTGTATGACCGAATCGGTCTCTTGCATCATTGTCAACTCTCATTTACAGCAATGCTTGAGTTCATAAAGATACATGGGCACTCACAGCTCTTTTAAGTTCCCACCAAAGCAGTTCAATCCACCCAATTTGGTACAAAAGTCATCTATTGGACAGACAGCCTCAAATTTCACTCTAGAATACTTTAGTATACAGAGGAGTTGTGTTCATGACCCCTCCACCACCGTGCTTCACAGCTGGATTGAGGTGTTTGTGCTGATTTGCTTAAAGTGCTTCTTTAAGATCATTGCTGATATACCACCCCCTTAGCATTGTGTTAACGTACACCTGAATGCTCCATATCTGCAAAATCCTGCTTTTATAGAAGTGCTTACACTTGCTAATGATCAATTAATCTCGTGCAATTGATTATCAGCACCTGGCTGCTACTTACCCTCCACTACTTACCTTCCAATGGAACCAGTTTTCAGATACGTCTTCTGCAGTTTGGCCTAATGTTTGCCAAATACATAATGACACATTGTAATAAGACTTGTTTTGTTGTTCACCTGGAGTTGTACTTATCTAATTTTAAGACCTGTTAAGAACTAGATAACCTTTCATTATGTCCTGATATGTAAACCCTTAGAACTGGCAGAAGGTGCATCTCCTTTTTACCATGACTTTATCACTTTCGGGTTGAGATGGCAAACATTTTATCAAACAGCTGCTTTTCAGTAGATCCAGTTAAATATAAGCATAAGGGAAGTATGAATTGAATATCCAGATTCCTGATAAATCTTTGTCTATAATTAATGCTCTTGAATTAATCAGTTTTGGTCTCCTCCAACTCCTCCAAGAAAATACTTAAAGTGTCTATAGCAAGCACATCAGGAAGTTGCAGAGTGAGTCTGTCTGCAATTTGTTTTTTCTTTAACTTCGTAACCTAAAACAGCTTCTGGCCGCAGCCAAAAACAACATTACAAGAGCTGCGTGACACAGGAGCTGATAATTATCTGTAGGTTCAGTTTTCAAGTACATAAATATTAGTGGGGGAAATAATAATCTCAATACCTCCAAACAAACCTATGTATAAAATAACCTACTGAAGACATGATAACTCTATTTAAAGCTATTAACAAGACTTTTTCACTGATGAAACTTTTTATATCTTTAAATTTGTTGCACAAAAAAAAAACACTTTCACTAAGCTGAAATTTAAATTAAATCACTCAGGCTATTTACCCACTTTTTTCCTTGACAGACATGGCTGAAGTGGATTAACTGTCACGCTCTGCCCTCGTTGTCATAAGATACCATCTGCTCTAATAGAGATCGTGAACACTGTGCATTATTATTTTTTCTGATCCACTCCAGTGGCACTTTAGCTCATAAAACAAGAGTTCTGCCAAATGTCATGCGAAGATGGATGATTATCGTCAGCTCCACTGTCATGGGAATTTATCTATCTGGTGTAATTTGCAGGCTGGAACAGCAATGAGCACAGATTCAATATTTAATGAAAGTATAAGTGAAGCTTAAGGGTTGTCACTTATGCCTCTGCTGTTAATGACGTGTCACATTATCATACTTATCTGATTGGGTCAATTTTAACTGCAATTACTAGCCTCATTTCTTTTTAATTCATTAAAAATGTTGGATCATTTCAGTTGTCCACCTCTGCAAACACATTGGGAATGTATTGTAATGTATTCTCTAGCTTCTATATTTTAGTGTCAACTGTCAGCACAAACTTAAGTCTAAAACATATTAATGGGAGCTTGGATTTGTATAATTCAATCAACACACCTAAAATATTTTAGTTTAGAGGGGAGAAAAAGTATGATGACTGAGGAAGCCCCCATGGTTGGTGCCTCACTCTCGCTGGTAACAGTATCCCACAGCGAGCTGGTTGATTGTTTTAGTCCTGGATCACTGGCCATGGGATAAACCTGAGAGCCCAGCCTGCTTTTCATGTCAAAACCTTCAAGGGAAAGCGGCCACAATCCAAAAGCAATCACACTTGAGACATCAAAGTGCCAGGGAGAAGAGAGGCGAGAGACGGTCCACATTTTTTCCATGCAAGTCAAGCGCAACTCAAGCGTGGAGTAAAAGGAGATGATCTAAGACGAGGGTGCCATTGAGAGGAAGACGGAGAGCAGACAGATGTGCATGGGCAGGTAGTGGCACATCAGGGCCCCTCCTGCAGCTGAGAGGAAGACCAAAAGGCCTCCAGTGGTCGGCATTCCTGCTTGCCGCTCATTTACTGTCCACTTTGACATGGACGGGGAAAATCGGTGATTTTTCCAACACTTGCATGGTTGGTGCTGGAAGAAATATTAAGACTGTGTATTCAAATTAAAGTGATCTTACACTGAGCAAACCAATTATAGCATTCAAATTGTATAGTACCAAACAATTACAGCAAAATGTTCTGTAAAAATGAAAACTCCAAGCACTCGTTATGCACAAGTGACTGCTGTTAAAAAAATGAAAAGTGTACCGCAGGTTGAGATGGAGCTGAAATGTTTTAACCACAACTTAAACCGTTTGGTAGATTAGTCCACCCCCACCAAGGTCACGGCCTTAACACAAGAGCGTGTGTTTTGGGGGCTGGAGACCATATGAGAAGCCTCGGTGTTGGAGCTGCAAATAACCAGTGAGAAATCTGAAATGTGATAAGGAGCACCAACTAGCCACTGTTGTTTTGCAAGTGGTCATGACTACGAGCCAGAGTTGACGTTCACGGCATTAAATAAGAATAACATTTACTTTTATTCTGAACTCTTTACCCTTAAATCAGCAGTTAAAGCCGGTGCCAAAATACATTTAGTGCATAATTACTTTCTGCAGTAGATTTGGTTTTTTGAAAGGATTCTTTATTTTACCATGAAGCAAAATGTTAACTGTGATCACGCAAACATTTCGCTCTCTGCAGCTGCCTTTGAGTGCATCTGGATTGGTATGATGAATAAAGACAGAGGTTGTTAACTTGTCAGTGGTCCATCAGGCTATTCAGCAATAGGCTTGGCCCCCCCGCTCTCCCTCCCACCACTTCCTCGTTCGCTGTCACTCATCTCTGTTCCGCCTCACTGCTGTCCAGCCAATGGGATGCTGGCGCCGGACCAAGAGCCCAAGCTGCTTGGACTTGTGTAGTGTGCTGACTGATAACCATAAACAGAATTTTTGGCGAGTTACAGGACACCTTACAGGTGCAATTAACATATCACACAGCAAGTATGGTGCACGATATATATTTTCAAAACGTTTAAAATTTGAATTATGAACATCATTGTTGTCACAAGTCACCCTGTGACAGTCCCCCAATACGTTTTTATAGCACTTTGTCCAACAGTTTTGTTATTGTTGTTTTTTTTATAAGAAAAAACACATTATTTTGATCTGAAGAAAACCTGCTTCTAGCTGCCAGGCCCATATATCTCAATGGGTGACTGAACATTTCTGAATGACAGATTCCACTGACCCACCAGTGTGGGCATGTCTTACCATCACTGATGATCCTCAACCGTGCTGCGACTGCATCTCCACGTCCTCCTATGTAACAAAACACCAGGAGCACTCTAAGTTGTAAAACAGCCTACCCACATCACATCTTCAAAGAAGCCTTTGGTCTGTGTGATTGAACAATTACCACCATGGTTAATTTACCATAAATGTGGACGTCCACTTTGCTAGTTTACCGGCATGCCTGCACATTGTTTAACTTATCCCTTTGACTCCATCAAGAGGTTTCCAGATGAAGTCACTGGCACTGGGCAAAACAACTCACACTTTCATGGCAAAATGGTTTCCATCACAGCATGTGCATCACGCCTTTAATTTGTCTGTTACACCCCAGTGAAGAGCAAGCGTACATGTGACAGCTGTTTCCAGTTTTATCAGGATCCAAGAAATATTGGAATGAAATGAATCCTTACAGCATGAATTTTTCCTCAGTTCAATCTTTTTTTTGAGGTGCTAAAATATTATTTTGAAAGCTAATAATGGGTTCTTGTGAAATTTCTGTTGCTACATTTTGAACTTTAAACTGCTTTCCATATTAAGTTCCATCAAAGTGTCTCCACTGAGCTTCCAAACTACTGAAATATTACACTCCTCACATCCTGTCAGGTTGAGTTGAATGAAAAATAAAAAAGTGGCGTTTTCCAAAAGTTATTTTATTAAGTTCACAATAAGGTTGCTTCCAAATGGTGCGCAGGTTTGAAAGGAATTCACAGCACTGTTTAAACAGTTACACTTTTTCGTTTCTTAGTTTTAATGATTCACAAGCTCTTCGAACATTTTAATAACTAGTTAATAAATGAAAGCTCTTCTTGAAACCAACTAATACAGTCGAGAAAATAAGTTAAACTCTTAATTTCAAATTCTGGAAATTCAAAAATTCAAAGAAGGACTTCATTTTCAAAACTATTAAAAGTGTGAAGCCAAAAAACCCTTTTCTTTTTTCATGAAGCGTTGCATCTGTAAATAATTTAATAACTTCAGAAATGCAAAAGTTTCTCTCCAAATTACACCCCAAATTCTGAAATATGAATTCCTATATTATATTTATTTTTCATTATCTTCTGTTGAGAATTTCTTCAGCGTTATCCGCTCTGCTGTCTCCAACTAATATTCCTATATAATAATATGACCTTTTGATGTTCCATTTAACTTTATTGTTGAAGTAATCGAACCAAGTTAAATAATCCATATCTATTAAAATGTAGCACAGTAATACCTGTTCCATTATTACAATTACGCTGATTTTACCATTTTAATTATATTATTTTCATTTTATTCAATGGGATTTTTTATGCATTTCTTGAAGTTAATAAATTATCCTGAAATTACTGAACTGAATTTAAGGGATTGAAAAAACATAATATCAAGGTGTGGAACGCAAAGAATGACTGACAGCATTTTTAGTCAGACGTGGAGTCAAACACTTTATCGTTAGGTTGTTGCTTCCATGTGAAGGACTTTCATGGACTCTGAGATCATTGAACTGGTGTCGATTTGTCCGTAGATACCCACCAAAAACGCCTTGTAGAGCAAGATGTCTGCATGTTCTGGAGAGGGAGGGGGGGAAAGAGAACACGGCATCATTCAGCTACAAATGTGCGACAAAGACAAAGACCCTTGTTAACCTAAGACCCGAACTCTTCCATGGCATGCATTTTTTATTTCTCTTTGATATTTGGGCATATTGGGGCCCGATGAATGTAAAAACAAAGAATTACCTGATTTTTTTTTTTTTTTTTTACCTTATTTTCGTTTTTATGAAAAATGAGAGCCACATATGAGGATATTCGTTTAAAATTTTGATAGAACAGTAGCAGTATGATGTCCTCGTAAATGGTTATCAGGCCCTTGTGGAGTAAAATTGAGTATTTTGGTCTAAATAACCCAAAATGCGATGTCCACATATGTGGACGCCAAGTCCTAGGAGGTTAAATCACTTAAAATATTTAAAAATACACAATTTACAAAATGTTTAATATGTGGTTCGTTTGACCAGAATACCAGCGCAGGACTCACAGAAGTGTCTTCTTACCTTGACAGAGAAGCACATATTCCGGAAGATTCCTTAAAGCAGTCTGCACCACGTCAAAGTTGCCACTGCCCATGCAATACATGAAAGTTGGCAGGAAGTCTGTTGCCAGGCTACAACACAAGAAACACACACTCTTATGTAAGCAATCAGAAATTATATAAATATATGAACTAAAGAACAATGACAGCTAGAGATCAACATATTTTTTCATGACTATTGGCCTTTTTCCTCCTCTCAGTTATTGCCACACATTTTCTTTTGCTATCAGCATGTTTTCCTTTGAGTGGTTTGTCCTGAAATGCTTTGAACCTACCATGGATTATTTTGAATGCAGCGTAGGGCGAGACTGAAGGCCATGTTCCGACACAACTCCTCAGGCGAAGTCATGAGCCTCTGCAGATCATTCTACCAACAGAAACACAAGGTGGTGATTGACGTGTTTCACACTGAGACACTGCACTTGACCTTTTTTGTGTCCATTTTCTATGACTCACAATGAAGTACTGTATGATCTCTGGGCTCCTCCTTGACTTCTCATCCACCTCTGTCAACACCTCCAACACATCTATAGCAGTTAAGGGGGAGAGAAAAAAATGAGTGTATTACTCACTATAGGTATTAAAACACTACATTACTCAGTATGTTGTAGGACATAGAGGAGAGAAGTTACCCTCGACTGCCTCTCCCTTTGACATCTTTTTCAAGTACATTGTCATGTCTGCAGCGCTCAGTAAAAATGAGGCCGATATGTTGACTAAGGGCAGAGAACCTGCAGCCAAGTCGTCTGGTAAAGAGAAAAAAAATAAGATTAAAGAATTCACGCTTTTGTGGAAACCACAGTTTGCATAGAGAAATTACAAAAGATGCTCTCAAAGTGTATCACTGAAAACGTAGCAATGTATTCAGATATACAGTATGCCAGCAGGCACAAGGTGATCACTTGTAGCTTTAGTGTACCTACAAATTTAATTACACATGAGGATCAAATGTGGACAACAGCAACTCTTACCATCTCTCTCTTCTGTAGATACCTCTGCAGAAGAGCTTTTTACAGGCAAAGTGAGTCCAGCTAGGAGAGATTTCAGCTGGACCAAATCTGGATTTTCCGCACACAAACTCCTGAAACGAGAACAGAAAAATTTGCCAAGTCTTTCTGCAGACTTTTTTTAAGGTGTTTACCCATCAGGAATGCTTTTTAAAGTTACTGCTGCCACTTACTGTAAGATGTCAGAGTGCTTCTGTAGATAAGGAATGGCTGCTGCTGCGTCGTGCGTAATGTACTTCTGTGTAAACTGAAGAAACTTGTTAATGAAGACCAACGGCGAACGTGTCCTCTGGAAATTCTACAAGGCAAGAGAGAGGCACAAACATAAAAAAGAGACTATTAAAATCTTATTTGTAGCTCCTTTTGGTAGGATCCCGATACTAAATCCCCTAAAGAAGATTTGGAAACGTGGAGCTGCCCACCTGAAGGACCTTCATAAAAGACAGAAGGCAGTCTTGAAGCGCCCTCTGGTGATCACTGTGGAAAACAAGTGGCTGCAGAAGCTCCAGAATAGCGAGTACATTGCTGAAGAATGTCATGTGGTTTTGCTGGCGAAACTCCTGCATGTTTAGGTGCATGCGACCGTGTAGGAGGCCTGCAATCATGGGCAGGTGTCTGGAAGGTCAAAAGAAACAAAAGCGCATCAGTAATCAGCTTAAACACAACACACACATCTATAGTGGTGGATCATTTACAAGCTCATGCAACAAAAAACGGCATCATAGTTTAGTCTTTCTTTTTCACCTGAGTAACAGTACAGGGTGCGATACAGCCAACTTCCTGCAAGCGAGATTGGCATCAGACACGCGGCTCTCGGCAGACTTTGAGTCTCCTATATCAGCAAGCAGTGTGACCAGGCGATGCACCAGGACATCAAGCTGAGAAACATAACATTTGGCAGTAAGTGGTATGTAGTAGTGAAATTGTGATTTTAGGAATTCAGAAAACTTTATTTATTAGGTAGACAGAGACAAAATATTTGGCAAAAACACAATTCAGCATTATGAGAACTTTTAGTGGGGACATCGAGATGGTTTAACCATTAAGCAAAGCTGCAAGTTACGATGTGTGACCCGTTTCTAATACACAACATCATTGTGATCTACTGCTTCTGTTTAATTATATAAAAACTTTAAAATTCCCAACAGTATCCAGTATTCAGTTATGTTGTAATGCTGTAGTCATGTGAACTGCACATAAGGGGACCTTTAGCATGATATTGCTATAACTAATTGTAACACTGAATAAAGGGAAATAAGAATAATTACATTTAAAGACGCAATCAAATCACTCAATTACTTGTATTTAGTAAGAACTATACCATTCAGTCTACAGTAACATCTTGTTGCAAAGCTGGATCATTATTGGATCCTGGCATGTTGATGTTGTTTATACTTATAGTCCACCTTTACGTCGTTGGATACAAAAAAAATACATGAGGAGCCTACACAAGATTAGGCAGGAAGTTCTATAACAGAGGGAAGACATCTTTACCTTGCAGCTGCTGCCATCTGCTGCCCCGCCGCTGCTGAACGTGCTTTCAGGCAGGGCAACGTGCTGGATGACCTCAGGGAAGTGCAGATAGATCTGTAGCAGCAGGTTCTGGCACCTCTTACTCATTGCACTGAAAGCCAAAATAAACAAAACGCTAAGTATGCTATATGTTATGGTTCCACCATGAAAAGTTTCTTTGGGAGGCGGGGGGAAGACACCATTAATGCATTATTGGCTTAGAACAGTTCAGTTGTCCATCCTAAAGCTCCAAACTTAGCGAGAAAATAATCAAGAGTTTAATCCCTCATGTTATGGAGTTGTGTCACTTGGACCTTTTTATTTGACAGTAAATGGATGCTTACTTTTTGTGCAGTCACAGAACACTTGTCACAGCTTTTCTGCTCAAGCGAGCTAGAGTCCCATTGACTTTATAATGTAACTTTTATCAAATTCACTCAAACTAATCTTTTTGCAAGTGATTATACACCGAGCTGACGTGACACCAGTTTAAGGAACACGACATAGTAGTTCCCTATTATTTATGTCTGTAGGCAACAACAATTAACATATATTAACACAAGCTATTGACATGAATAGCTTGATGCAATTCAGAGGTATTCACCTTCGAGTCAATGCAGTTTTATAAAATCCTCTTACTTGCTAAGGCTCTTGTCAGGCTCAAATGATGCACTTCTACTAAATGAGCAGTTTATTACAGCTATGCATTAAGCAAATCAGAGCGACCTTGACCAAGAGTAAAACATCGGCTCACTGTTCAATAGTTTCTGTGTAATTGGAATAAACACCAGCTTATCTGTCAGCAAGCTCTCGCAAGAAGAATGCTTAACATACAATCAAGTATTTACTTGACACAAGGCCGAAACCCTCTACTTTCAACATGTTTTTATCCCGCCATATTTTCACTAGCAACCATTTCACCAAACAGCTTAACTGCACTTAAATTACTGTAATTCTGAAGCTAATTTTCCTTGACCTTGGCCAAAGTTTCCTCATTAAAGTGGTTTAATAACCAGAGACATATTCATGAAAGGAGGGTTTGCCTCCACAAAGAGTTGCACCCTGATCTCTGACAGCTAAGTCAGTGCAGGAATTCACAACACAGGCAAGTTTAGAGCTTCAGCCTTAATCCTCTTGCCTTCATTATAATACACTGAGCTTTTAAAGAGATCACAGTACAGACGACTTCTGCTGGTTTTAATTTCACACCAATAGACCTAATTATCAAGTTTTCCCTGGTCCACAGCATTGTGGCTGACAGAGGAAGTCTGAAAAGTTCATCTGCACTGAGAAGGAAAATCTGGTGCGATTTACCCCAAGTTTATCAGCACAGCATAAGAAGGAAAAAATGACTTTCAGTATTGGGGCCAATTAGTGTGATCAATACAATGTGTCACAATAAGATTAATTGACTACTATGGTAAAATATCCACAACTAAATGCAATAAACATATGTGTTACCAACTAAGAATGGATAAAGAAAAAATCAATCTGAAAAAAAAAACCCCAAAAAGATGAAGAAACAGAGGAGGCGTTGCCGATAAATGCAGCAAATTTTTAAATAATATAAACCTTACCTGTCCTCCCATTTTTTTGAGCAGTTGATGAGGTACTCTGATACTTTCTTGATGTCTTCTAAATTTCCATTACAGTACGAGTGAAGGAGGGGCAGTCTGGATTGGATGAGGGAGCAGGGGGCCTGGTCCACACTGTTTTTGTCATCCTGGAGTGTGTCGTGGCTGTTAAGCTCTGATTCTGACAATATCAGGTCCATCAGGCTAATGAGCTCCTCTGAACTGAGCCGGAGAACAAACTTTTCAGTTTTCTTCTAAAAAGACCAAAAGGAGAGCACCAGTCACCAACATCAGCAGAAAAGAAATAAGAAAAAAAAAGGTGGTAACTATGAAAGCTTTTGATCCTACTTGAGGGATCTTCTGGTCACGTCCTTGCCAGATACGAGGAATGTGGCTGCACGCCCACAAGAAATCCAGAGCAGAGGATGGGTCCAGTCTAATAAAAGCAGCAAAGTGAAATTTTGAATTCTCTACACATAGGATAATCCTCAATAAAACCTCAAGACTGTGGCAGACAAAGGTTGTGATAAAACTACATACTTGTAGTCTCTGCGCTTGCTGAGAAGAGCACTGATACACTGCAGCAGAGTGGACCAGTTTGACTGATGTGTAAGCAAGGCCAAAAGATAAGGTCTGTAAGCTGGGGTCCCTCGTGCCTGAAACAGATAAACAGTAAGAAAGGATGCATCGCTAATGCCAAGCAAACACCTTCTCTGGTGTGATAAGCCAAGAACACTATCTGCACACAAGCCTTATCTTACCTTGTTGAGGGCAAACAGCAGCTTCTGTTGAAGGTCTGGACACACTGAAGTAACCTCAGGGTCAAGACGCTCCAGCCAATCAACCAGAAGCCCAGAGCTAAGTCCTGACTTTGTCACCTCTGAGCCACTGCCAAAGATCAAACCAAAGGATTAGTTTATACAAATGTAACTCAGCATCTGTTAACTACTAACAGGAGAGCTAAGGCACATCAATAATAATATTTAGTGTTAACAAAGTTGTACTGGTCAATTAGAAACAACAAACCAATTTTGAAGTTGTTACATGGAACCTGTCTTTGTCACCTTTAATTATCATTTTAGCCTCAATAATGACAACAAAGCTTTTAGAGCTACATCCCTTTTTGACAATTTACAGAGAGCATCCAATAGTGCTATTACTCCCTCTACTTGTACTCCTATCAGAAAATATATAACACAGTAAGCAACTTCTCAGTGGCAGAACTGATTACAGATGTCTTTGATGTCCATAGCACGTGCATCTGAAAAGCCACCACAAAGCTGAAAAGCTAATTCAACGTTAAATTCCAAATGGAGTTTAAAGTATAAGGCCACAGGCAGCAGGCGCTGTTCTGCTATTTGTCCCAGGCAGGCATGTTTGCCATCTAGTCCTGTCAAATATAAATGTTTCTTGCATGACTTGTGAGGGAAATAGAATTGTAGCGCTCACTTATTAGAATCCACTTCCTTTTTCACAGCTCGCTCCTCGCTTTCCTGAAGGAGCAAAGAAATCACCATAGCAACAGAGCCCGCTGTCCCATTCTGTGTACCAACAGTCATCAGCAGAGACAGTAGCTCCTCCAAATATGGTGACTTCACCTCCATCAGCCCTTGTAGCACTGAAAAATATTAATAAGTAGTGTATTTATCATAGGCTTTGGACCACCTTTATATTGTTTAAACACAATAAATGGGAGTATGGGAGTGATAGTTCCTAATTCAAGCTGCTGTATCTATCTATCTATCTATCTATCTATCTATCTATCTATCTATCTATCTATCTATCTATCTCCTAAACAATCCAGCGACTTCATTATTACCTTTGCCAACAAGTTCAGGTTCTGCATTACATTTCTCTCCAGTTTTCAGCATTGCTATGATGGCTCTCAGTGGAACTTCAGTATCTCTGCGATATGCCAACGCCTCAGCCAGGTGAAGGAAACCTGTACGTACTGCAAAGCAGAGAAACACATTACTCGCAGTTTATAGAAAATGAATAAAGCAGCATCTGCAAAGATATTACTGGCATACTCACCATCACTGAGCCTGTGCTTGTGAGAGTTCTGTCCAGCAAAAGATCTGAGCAGAGTCTTTAGTGGTCCTGCCTCTACAGTTGGGTTGTCTAACCAGATTAACATCTCAACAATGACTTTGAGAAACAGTGATGAGAAAGCAATGTCCTGGGAAACGAGACGCTGCAAAGAACATGCAGAAAGCAAAAGATGGGAATACTGTATTTAGAAGCTTTATAAAAATACATAGAAATATGAACTGACTCTGCTTGTGTATGTGTGTTCCACCTGATAGAGATGAAGCTGGCGCATAAGAGGGCAGGACAGAGAGTGACTCCGATGCATTGATATTACTATTGGCCCTGCATGAGCAGAAGCGAGCAAGGCTGCAATGGCCTGCAGGAGTCGAAATGCCAAACCACCCTGCTGAATCTGGCCCTGCTTAGCTCGCATTAACTCTTTAGCTAAGGCCTGTTGGAGGGCCAGGGAGACCTGACTGGGAGGAGGGCCATGCCAGCGGGGGTCCACTTTCAAGGGGAAAATCTATAAAGATTAAGAGAAAAAAAAAGTAGGAGAAGTTACCCAACATCAGTCTCAAAAGAAATAAACTACTTTTTATTTGGATTTAAAACTCAAATAAATAATAAAATTCAGCCCAAAGGAAATTGTAACTTGTCTACTAAGTGAGCTAATAGTTTAAATAATGCCAGAAAGAGTGGAGAAATAAATGGCCAGTACATCCTACCTGAAGCAACATGCCAGTGAGATCATCGTCAGGCCCGACTACAGGAAGCTGAGTGGCTGCTCTCATCTTCACAGAGCTGTGAGGAGTTTCCACTGTAACTTTGGCCTTACTTGTTTCAGATGAATCTGCCGGGAACAGTGCAATAAAAACATTAAATAATGTTGAAAATGCAATAAATTCTGAGGTGTAACTTTGCAATCTACTTCAAATTAAAGCCCAGGGCCGTGTACTGTTAGAAATCAAAGCATAATGTGGATAAACATTTAATCTATCCAGTGATTTTAATGTTTACTTAAATGTTTTACAGGATAAAGACACTGACCTCTGTGTGGAGGAAGAGAGGAACTGAGTAAAGAATGGAAAGTATGCCCCCCAGTGGCCCCTCGCTCATGCTGCACTTCAACCAAATGGGCCATGTAGTCTGTGACAGAGGATATACACAGTAAGATCAATGTTAAACAATTTTAAAATATCCCCCAAAAAGTAAAAAAACAAAACAAAAAACAGGTAGAACACAGAAGAAAAGAAAATCTTACGCTTGTCCATGATGTTTTGCTCTAAAGCCTGTGGATCATGGGACACAGCCTGATCCAAGTACTGCAAAAGTTTACTCATACTGGAGACTGGAATCCCAAAAGATTGAACAAAAAGCAGCAGCTGCTGAGCCTCGAGGTCTTGTAAAGCTGATAAAAGGGTACACACACATTCATTAAAAAGTAAAAAATGAATTATTTGATGAAAAACAAAGATTTTTATCCACATGACAAGTTGTACCTGCATCGACCAGTCGTGAGACCTCAGAACGAATCATCCTCAATTTCAACCAATCGGGAAGCAGCAGGGCTTCCTCTGAGGTGTCAACCAGGAAGGCAGTGGGTAGAGGTTTCTTGTCAGGAAACCAAATGTCCAAAAGCATGTGGAAATCACTCTCTCCTGTAATGATACACAGTGCTAAACTTGTTCTTACAGCCCTTTAGCAGTGCTGACAATGTACTTTAAAGCAAACAGGGCTACCTTTGGGTGGTCCCAGAGTTAGCAAGATAACAATAGCATGGACTACAAGAATGTGCATTGTAGCAGTCTCCCCTGTAGTCCAGCGTAGAAACACCTGGTCTTGAGATTCTGACTGTAAAACACAAAATAAAGCATGAAGTTACAAAATAAATGCATCTTTCCCTGGTGTATGTCCACAGTTTAAGAACAGAAATTACTCTTCGATTTAGAATGACTCTCAGGTGGAAGTTCAATATTTTCTGTCTTGGCTATTCAGTACTAGAATTTTTTTTTCTTTAACTCAAAACTGTTCAATGAAAACAGAAAAATTATTAGTTTACAAGGCCTAAAATCTTAACATTTATTTAAAAGAGGAGCTATTTTAAAAATTTCTGTTAACTTTCTTATCACTTAACTAGACTAGCTTTGCTAGGTTTAAAATAACTCTTATTTATCTTAAACGCAGCATTGGGCAGTTTTATCTCCCTTTAAGACCACCCTCCCTTAAAGAAGGAGGGTGGAGTCTAAAGCCTGAGCTTTTGGATCACAGGGATTACTTTTAGACAATTATTTGAATCTTTAATAGAGAATCCAACATTGTAACAGTAGTTATATGACTAAAAATGAGGAAAAGTTTAAATTGCTGTGGGCTAGTGAGAAGATCAAGAGAGCAGCATTCATCGCCAGTGCTCACCCAGCTGTAAAGATCCTCGCCCTCCTTGGTCTTCCTCATCCTCTTAATATACGTAGAGAAGATGGAGAGGAAAGCATAGAGCACAGCGTCAGACTCAGGTCTGCTGGAGTGTTTGGAAAAGAGGTTGTTCATGATGGTTGAACGCTCGACGATGAGCCGGGCAATGTCCTGCAGAGAGCAAAAGGGAGACCAAACCCATGTCAGCGCTGCTCATTGACAAAAAGAACGGTTTAAAATAAAGTGACATGTGGAAACTCAAGCAACTCGCTGTGATTACCAAAGCCAGGTCATTATGAGAAGCCTGCTCCTCCACTGGTGCATGCTGGGATAGATAGATGAGATAGGCACTGATCGTCTGTGGATCTGTCTCCATGTGAATGGCCTTTAGAAAGTTAACAGACATCAAAACTCTTATTAACCTTTATTAAAGTTTTAAACTTATTTCCAGTCCACTGTTGAGAAAAACTGACCTGCTGCAGGGCAGTGGATGTCATGCCCCTGACACTGTCAAACAAAGGGAGCTTGGGGAGGTCCTGTAGCAGCCACTGGTAACCTGGCAAGAGCTCAGCATCTGCAGAGTCTTCTTCCATGGGCTGGTCTCGCTCCTCCCCATCTTTCAGGCCTCCTTCAGTCAGCACCAAAGACAAACCCTGCACACAAATATGCAATGTATATTTTAAATAATGATTTACCTACAACACAACACCATGAAACATTTTTTTTTCCTTTCAGGACGGTACCTTCATGGCTAAGACTCTTGATGCCACTTGAGAAGAGCTGAGACGGCGCAGGAAGTAATCCAGTACTTCACATGTTGTCTGCTCATCAGCCTTGGGACCTAACAAAAGATCCTGGAGGCGCCCAAGTAATTGCCTCTGCTTTTGTTGTCTCTGACAGGAATAAAGATTAGAAATCATAGGATTAGTCATTAAGTCTTATTTTGTACCCAGATGCAAATTTCTATTATCAAGCACATGTATACATTTTATATGGAGGGTATGAATTTGGGATGAAACCCTGTAATTAAGAAATAATGTTAAACTAATTAAAATACTTGTCTCTTCTTGGCTTTCTGCTCTTTGCTTTCTCCTTCTTCATCATCGTCTATGAGCAAGCTGTCATCTGCAGCATCGTGAAGAAGGAATTCACACAGGCATTGCACTGGGAGCACATCCAAGGATCCCTCACTGGACTGGACCAAATCAGCCAACCATGGCATGGACTGAGAAGAAGCCTGTAAGGGATTGAAAATATACATTTTAACACTGACATTACAACAGCAACACAATTTATATTTTCTTCCAAGTCAGTCCCATTCAACCAATCAGTCTGGATGTGAGAGGTAGGGTACACCCAGAACAGTTTGCAGGGGTTACACAAAGAGAGAGACAACCACTCACACTAACAACTTAGAAACACCAAGTAAAGTACAAGTACATGCACTTCTGGGGAGAATCCACACAGGTACAGGGATAAATATGTAAACTCTACTCAGAAAGGCCAAAGACAGCAAGAGGATTTGAACCCAGAAGCAATGGTACTAACAACAACTCAACCATGCTAAAGCTTACAGCACTCTTGTGGTTTCCCATTCAAATACAAACCAGGTCAAACCCTGCTTAGCTCTTGAGATCAGATGAGAATCGGGCACACTCAGGGTGGTACAGCCTAAGCCCCAAGCCAAGCTAATATAGCTAATATGCACATCATATGATTGTTGAGGCATAATCTAATCTCTTATATCTAATATAATTATAATCTAATATTACATGTTCTTGGAAACATTAGATAAGTACTGAAGTCAATATAATACAACAATGACCAGGTCATTTTGGACATTTTAAAACTGATATGTTCCATGTAATGCCTTGAATTTGGTCATTGTTTGGCAATTACTGAAGATGAGTTTGAAAAAAATTTGAGTCGCAACAGACAAAACTCACTGATTAATAACATAAACTACTGCTCTTTTTTCAGTACTGTGGCTGAACTGTCGGGACTACAACAAAAAACTGAAAAGGGGGAAAAAATGGGTTATTTTATGGAGATCGGGGGGATGTAGAGTTTGGGAGAGTTATTGAAATGGTCATTACCTGTCTCTGGATGATGTTGAGAAGAAAGTCAGGGTTGCGACTGCGGCAAAGGAGGTGACCGAGACGCAGAGACTGGTTGAGACTTTTAACCTGCTCCTGGACCTGAGGAGGAGGTCTACGAGGAGGTCCCCTAAACACAAACACCACCATCAAATAAAAGCTAAGATTATTTGTTATGACTTCATTCACATTGTGATGGAAAGATATTGAGCTTATATAATTTTTTTCAGTAAAATAGGGGATTTCAAATGTCCTAATATATGAGCAAAAAGGTTTCATTCTAGTATGGGTGTCCACTCTCAAACAACTGTCTTGGTATCTTACTGTGGGTCCAAACTGGTAAGCTGAGACAAGAGCAAGCTGTTGCTCTCGGTGATGGTCTGTTTGGTTGAAGCTGCAGCCAAGTGGCTCTCAAAGGCTAAAATCTCTTGTTTCTCTCTCTGGGAGATCTGTAGCTCTCTGTTGATCATCTCTGTTTTTGTGTCCTCATCCGCAATGGTACAAGGAGGGTATGTATAGTTACTATAAAACCACAGAGACAAAAGTGTTAGCCAATCAGAATTATTACATTTAAATAATTTAACTGTTACTGATAATCTTTACTTACTTTGTCATAACCATCTCCATAAGCATTTTTAGGGTGGGATATCCATCCCAGGCAGCCAAACCTAAAAGAAAAAAAGATATCAGACACCACATCTGTCAACAGATACCTATAACAATTTATCTTATATGAAGATGTATGTAAATATGACTGCTGTACCTATCTTCTGAGGGTTAAATGCAGCCACAACAAGCAACAATAGCCATGCCTTCCAATAGAGTGTGGATATTGCCAAATTTGGTGGTTGGTACCTTAAACAAGAGTAGTCATTTGTTACTTAAGTCTGTAAACAGTATGACCTATATGTGTTCTTAAAAGCCATTAAGGATAAGTGACATACCCAGCAGGCAGTTGAATGTTCTCTGGGTGGTGGTATGTACACAGATTCAGAACAGCATCAATGAGCTGGATCCTCTCCACTCTCAGGACCTCGAGATCTGCTTAACAAGAAACAGGCAGACAACTCAGCAGCACGCATCGTGCCAAGAAAACTATAACAATGAAAATAGTCTTTCCTTTGTTCCTAACATTACTTAGCAGACGTAAAAAACATAAAAGTTGCCCCTTGAAATATTTATGGCAGCTCATTAAAGAGAGGCACAAGTGTTTAACAAATCTACAAACATTCGACTAGAGTTTATCATAAATAACTTTAACAGCAGTCATAAACATTTACAACCAAAATGGATCTTCCACAAACCATCTGACTGAACTCCGGCAGCTCTCTTAACCAGGTGATCAGCAAGCTCCATTGCGTCTGCCGGGCCCAGAGGCAAATCACGTGACAGCCCGATCACCAGAATACGCATCAGAGTGTCCTCCAAAAGAGGAACTTCAGAACAAAGGCGAAGGAAGAAACTGAGGAATGAAAAGAAAAGGTCCATAAAGTTACAGAAGCTAAAAAAAAAAATTAAGAAATAACAAAAAGCAAATTATGTGCTACTATTTCAGGGTTGCTCACTTTCTGTCGCTCTCCGGAGGCCAGTTGTCCCACTTGTAATATGTCTCAGGCTGCTCTGTGAAAAGCACTTTGTGAAGGCTGCAGACATGAAGCAGATAAATGATTTATAAAGCAGCAAAAATATTTCCACTTGGACAATCTACACATCTGCTACGGATACTGACCAGTGAACGTAGTCTTTTGCACCAAGTTTGCTGATGGTAGGAACAACAGTGTGAAGCCACCACACAGCATCTCTCTGGATGGCAGCAATCTGATTCTGAAAGGACCTCAGGACCTCAAGATCTGAAACAAACCAGACACATGTTTAACCCAAGCCAAGTCGAGCTACTTTAAATACAGCAGAAGGACAAATAGACAGAACGCACTCTTCTTCTCTCCTTTGTCCCATGCAATGCCTGCTTCCTTGACCTGAGCGGTGATGCCCAACATCATAGAAACAGTGAGTAAATCTGTCACCTGGATGACAAATCGCTCCTATGGGAGAAATAACCAAGTTTAAATGCATGAACGAAACAGCTTCAACAAAGTAGGCCTGCTGAATTTTCATATCCACTTACTTTAAACTCCATGTCAACATAGCTGGCCTCTTTTCTCTCCTGCATCAAACCAAAGCAAAAGGACTGGAAGTTGATCTCATGCTTAGTCTGTTTGATGATTTCTCTGAGCAAAGCTCTTGAGGCACGAAGGTAATCATCCTTATTGGTTAACAGGTCTTGGAACACCATTGCCAAGAACTGCCAAGACAAAGATAAAATTAAATGCAGAGTTTATTAAAAAATAATTTCATTTCTGTTGAAATTTTTCCAAACGATCTAGTTTTACCTTTGGAGCTTGCTCTGGGCTGTGCTGCAGCACTGTATGGAGGACTTGCATGTTATTGGGATTCCGGGCATTGGACAGCTCATTAAAGATGACGAGCTTCACCATAGTTCCCAGGTTGTCTCTGTGTGCATTTAGTAGCTCCCTGCAAAGATACACCCAAAGCTCCGGTTAGTGCGAATTACTGACTGTGATGACAAAATAGATGTGTGACAATAAGAACAACTTTACAGACCTGACACACAGCATGTAATGATTAAGAAGAACTTTGGGTTTGAGTCGGATCTTGATCAGGTTGGAGATAACCTCCATGTCATCTGCTCCGTGGGTGTTGCAGTTCATGCACAAAGACATCAGGAGGTCCTGAGCTGGGCGAGTCAACTGCAACCACAGAAAAACGTAAGCTAATGCTTAGTCGCCTACTTTTAATGTATTGCAATAGCTGTATCTTAAGAGGCCACATTTCACCTTTTATTTACACAAATCCTGCAACATATTATTAGTACAACTATATAACACTATGGATTTATTTAACACAGCTGTCAGTATCAAGGGTTTCACCTTTGGGTTCTGGAGCCACATCTCCAGCCTTTGCACCGCCATGAGTCTTGCCTCTTTGTAGCCACATGTGGCTGTGAGCAGACGCAACAGATTTCGGGACACATTGTCCATCGGCTGCCTGCGGTTCAACTGATCCCTGAGGACATCAAGCACATAGTCCTCCACACTCTCTGCAAGTTCGTCATACCTACAGGTTTCCAGTGAATAAGAACAATAAACACAAAATGATCAAGGAGCTCAGTGCATTGTTTCAATCATTTTTCATTGTTCAATTGTGAAAATTTAACCGCGTTACCTATATATGCTGTAAATCTGAACACACAGACTGTACGCTATGGCCGTCACATTTATGTTGGTAGCTTTCATACCTTGGCATAACCTGCCCTTCATCCTCAGGGCTGAGTTTCTCCTCAGCTATCAGCAACTCAGTCTGGCTGTCATCCTCATCTGGGGTTGATGGATGAGGGCTGCTACCTAAAGATCAAAAGCAGCATGACCAATCAGCACTTGTTTCTGACATCAGTAGTCCTGACTTACAGAAACCTGAATGTACCATACCTGCACTCAGATCTCCAGCAGAGCGGCCCGTATCAGCCTGGAGCAGCATACTCTTTGGGGGCATTTTTGTTCCAAAAGCAGTCTGAATGTTGTCAACAAAATTCTTACAGTGAGAGCTGTCCACCCAGATTCTTTCACCCAGAGAGTCCTCAATGTAAACCTGAAAGTATACGTCAGAAGGACAAATTATAGGAAGAGCTCATGCATGACAGAAATGTGTTTGAATTTTGTGGGTGTTCTCACTTTGACAAATATCTCTGGCCAGTTCTCATCCTCCTCGTATGCTGCCATCAGCAGATTGCATGCCAGAACAGAGACCAGGCTGTTGCCTTTTGCTTTAAAGTTGATAGAAGCATCCCTACGCAGGAGGCTGCACAAGGCCTAGTGACACAAGTGTAACACACGGAAAGTAACAAAGATTTTGTCAAATCAGTGAGGTTCACTTGGCGAAATATTGCAATGCTGATATACATTATTCATCTGTGTATATGTACTGAAGAATAACTGTGTTAAAAGAATTACCTCAATAATTCCCTCAGTTGCAAAAACATTGGGCTTGATTTTGGCCAGAAACATGAGGCTAAGGTAAAGTGTGATGTCAGGCTTGGCTCTGTTCATCTTGAGCTGTTTCACTGCTCCACACAGCAATCCCTCAATGCGATCGTCATTTCCTTCTGATTCAGCAGCTTCAATCTCGTCCAACAGCACTGCTGGAGAAACTGCCATAGAGAAACATATTTTTTTACTTTCCTTGTCAGTTGTCACCTGAAGATTTTCTGACATTTCTATCTCAAATTTTACAACACTTCAGAAATGCACAGGCTTCAAAGTTACCTTCAATAGGTACTACTGATGGCTCCTTTATTGAGGGCGATATAGCCCTCTTGTCCACTGCAGCAACATCAGCGAGACGTCCAAGGGCACTGACAGGAGGGGTGGTGGATAGTTTGGGCCGCTTAGTTAGGTTGGCTAGCCCTGATGAGGATGGCAGAGTGGAGGAAGTCTCTCTCTTGCGGTCAGCAGGTAAATTTGTAGAGGTTGCCTTCAGGAGGACAGCAGGGGCTTTCGGCTCTCCTCCCTGGCTCTTAGAGCCCAGAGCAATAAAATCTCCTGTAGGGGGATGGCCTGCAAAAATGCAGATGTTACAATTTTAGTTTCTCCTGCCTAGGTGCTATTCAACATGGAACACACAGCTAAGATTGGATTTGGTTGCACAAGTAGTCCGACCTGATGGTTTCGCTGCACTGGGGCGCCTAAGAGTTGTAGGCTTTGGACGATTCATATTTACTGGTAGGCACAATTACAATCAAAGTAGAGCGGGAGACATGTATGTGTCATATGTGTAGCCTGTGTAAAACAAAACAATAAATAAACATGAGGTTAGTAACAACAGCAAAGTTAAAAACCAGTAATAAATAGCAGTTTAAATCGCTCTAAATCTCTACAGCTAGTAAATCAAAGCATAAGAAGACTAGCAAGAAGGATGTGTTCAATGCCGCTTAGCACCATAAAGGTTATTAATTACATGTTTACAACACACAAGACAAAAAATGCTAGGCTAACAACGAAAACTATGGCTAGTATGACTACTAGCACGACGTTAAACGTTAACACTGCCAACTAACAGGCGTTAGGTTTCATTTAACTTAAATCAACCGTAATTCGTTTGATTAATATGCTCAATAAAAGTCATACTGATATGATACCTGGACGATATACTTCACACAAAAAAGTCATTCACCGCCTCAAAGCTATCAGACAGACAGAGCCGTGGTGGCTTCTTTTTCTCGACTGAAATTACTCGATAACACCAACAAGTAACAAGCGCCACCAAGCGCCAGGGAGGATCATGTACATCTACTTTGAGCGTCACCTCCGTATACGAACTTGCTCTCTTCTCTCAACTTTTTATTATTAAGGCATTTCCAATCAGTTCAAAGTAAAATAGTTCGTCGTATCCTTAAATGTCTATGCAGCAAACATTTGTGTGTAATTACTTTTACAGATTAAAATGGTTAACTCTTCCAATCATGGTGGTATTCTTATCTTTAACCCTCATCTGTAATATTTACGACAGAACTGCGCCATCACAGTTTTATGATTTTATTCCCCAGCTTCAGTACCAGTAGACGTGGTTTACAATATGTAAAAAAAAGTTAAAAATCTAATAATAAAAACTATATATGTTTAGCCAGTTTTATTTGCGGGGAAAAACTTATCATTTAATCACATCTGCCTTGGTAGACATGACAAATCTTCTCCTATAACTTTGTGTAAAACTTTGTAACAAGTTTTTTTAACCGGAAGTCGTATTATGTCATTGTTCCCGTAAGCTGACGAGCCAACGGTGATCGTCAGAGGGCGTCCTTATACAAAATAACGACATTATAGATTCATAATACATAACTGTTTCCATTTACTGTTGATATAGCATAGATAATGTGTGTATAATGCTGTCACAGTACTGTCTATGCTAATGTAATACACGTTAAAGGAAACGTGCTGTACACCACAGGGTTTGTACCATCACAGCAGAGGAACGTGTATATTTGTGTGTACTGTCATTGGTCAATACTTAATTTAAAACACCTTCCGGTCACCTCCAAAATAAAAGAAAACTTTTTTTTTCTTTTTTTTTAAAAAGCGAAGTAATTACGTGATATTACCAATTGGGGGCGCTAAAGATTCACACATTTTTCTTCTCCCTTTAGTGTTAATAACATGAAAATAAAAATAAACAAGAATGTGTTGATAAAAATGTTTTGTATCAAAATTACTGATGTTAACGCATGGTATGAAAAATAAATATGTGTTAATTGAAATAGTTTATGGTAAAATTAAGTTGAAATCAGTGTCACATAAAGAGACAGAAATAATATTTTACTACTCTCTACAGTATTTAAGTATATTTATATTTAAATATGTCATTTTTTTCAATAGAATCTCCAAAATCTTTTTCTATTGGAGAAAAATATGAGAATAACAGCAATGTTTTATAGTTTGACTCAGCTTTTTGATTAGGTCTTTTTCTAAAATCCCAAGTGAAAGATGAAGAAATGGCCAGCAGATGTCATCACTCTAACTCTATCAAATGCTGCAAAACCGTAAATCATTTTAAGCATAGTTACTGGCATTTGCTTAATGGGTTTCAGTCAGTGCCTTGCAAAGCTTTTTCATCATCACTTGTGCCAGAGTCTGCAGATATTTTGCCATCTCATAATCATAGTCATCATTATTTCTGCACACTGTTCCTCACTACAGCTTTAGACTGGTCGAGCTTGAAAAAAATACCCCTCTTCTTTCCCATTTAACCTTCATTTTTAGTCTCCTTTGTGTTCCCTTGTGAAGTCGGAGGACAAAAAGGCAAGCATTGCATTTGAACTGTGAGTTTTAAGCGCTTTATTCTGAATTAAGAGACAAGATAGCTCTCATCACTTCATTTGATTCACATCATGCGTTTAATTACTTTCATCCTTTGTGAAAATTAATTGAAAAAAATTAAATCCAAGCAAAACTTTGGCTGCTTTTAAGCTTAATAAAAGAACTGCATTTCGCTTTCAAAAACACCACAGCCAAAGGTCTGGAATGAGATGCAGGTCAATCAGCTATTCTACTAAAATATGAAGATTAAATATTATTCTGTGGAAGGATGCAGGTGCTTTTTTGCCCCTTTAGCAGAAATGACCTTTTTTAAGAGTTTTTGCATAATTGCTTACTATCTGGCACTGGCTGGTTGAAATTTTTTAACCACTCCTCTATGCAAAATTCCTTCAGTTGCCAGATGACCTTAGGCAGGAGGGTTTTCAAACAGCAGTTCCTCTATCAAATCTTTTTTGAACTCTGGGCTTTAAGGCCATTCAATCACCTTACAGTTCTTCCTTTTGAGTTATTCCAGGGTGGACTGAAGGTTAATTATTGCCTTGTTGAAATGTCCCTTTCTGATTCACTTTTCAGACAGGTAGCCTCATATTATATTCCAATAATCTTAGTTATGATGCAGAATTTATAGTTCAATAAATGATCGCCCAGTCCCCCAAGAGAAGAGAGGCGACCCCAGACTTTACCATTTCTGTCAGTTCTTCTTCTACTAAGCTCCCAGTGTGACAAACATGTCTACTGTTACTTTAACCAAAAAGCTCTGCCTCTGATTTGTCTAGACAGAACAAATTATTCTAGAACTCCCAGCCTCAGCCTGTTGGCAAAATGTATTTTACTCTTAAATTTTTTGCTTTGAACATCAAAGTATTTTCCCTGCCACATCTTCAATACAGGGAACCATCTCTTTCTGATTATCTAAACCTTTGCTTTGACAGCAACACTTGCATGAGCTACCAGCAGCTCCTCCAGTTAAAACTAGGGGTTTTGTCACTCTTGGGTTGGATTTGCTTTGGCAGCCGGTTCAGTAAAAACTGGCAGCCATCTAAAATCTACAGTTTTTACTGAGAGTGGAATCGTGGCTGCAAAAAATAATTAAAAAAAATCTCTTGCTATATTCTTCTGGAGGTCTTAGAGAAAACTTAAGATTGTGGCATGATGATTTCAAAGAGAAGCAGCAAACTCTAGATGGGTTTAATTAAGACAGGCTCCACTTGTCACTTTGCAAGCGGAGGCTTATTTTATGCTAACAGTGACTAAACTTTTCTGAATATAAAGAATTAACAGTGTTCATTTTAAATGTGTTAATCTTCACTTTTTTTTTCAAATTTACAGCTATCAGTAGCTTTAGGGGAAAAAAATTAGAGCATCAAAGTGTTACACTTTATAATGCCCATATTTAGTCCCGCCCATAGTCAGCAGCAGTGAACTGTTCATTCCTTAAGCATTGCTCAGCTGTGACAGGACTAAAAAAGAGAAATAACTCTGTCCTTCTCTCTGCTCTCTTGCTGTCTGCAAATTCCCAAACTCACTTTTTTGCCATTTAAAGCGTAAAAGAGAATCTTGGTATTAGACTTTAAACAGTCCACCAGTGTTTGCTCCAGCTAGTACTGCCATCACTACCACTGTAACCTCACCATGTTCATTTCCATGCTGCTCTAAGCTGCCAGCTGGTTACATAAAGTGTTTTCATATGAAACACATTTTGGTGAAGTCAGTGGAATGTTCAGTAAATGCTCCAAATTAAATCTTGTGTCACATGTGAAGTCTACAAATGTACAAAAAAAAAAAGCTGTTTTTTAGCTTTCGAAATTACGTACAGCTCAGACTGTGCCAGAGCTGGCTGTCTAATATGTCAGGTATTTTCAGCAAGTTGTGCCTGGACATTGTGGAAGGATCTAGTTGGGAGGAAAACAGGATTATTATTTTTTTTAATGCAGTGTGAGTTAATTGGCTGTGAGTTTAAAGTATCCTATAAATATCTTAAAACCATTCTTCTGCTAACAAATCATTTGGAGTATTTGGAAGAAAAGGAATGATCCCCTTACAACAGTGGGCCTCTTTGTACCAGATCAGATTTCTTAGGAGTTCAGAAGTCTGAGTCAGAAAGAACCCAGATTAGTGAGTCAATGTTACTTCCTGTAATTCAAAACTGCCCGCAAGAACCCAGACCCCACAGCACGTCGATCTGACAAAAACCCCGGCAAGTCTGCCGCACATGGTTTTGCTGTTTTTGTTTTGTTTCACACGTCGGGTGTATTTCAGGTCATCCGCATACACTGCTGCCAGATGGACAGTAACAGAGGGTTATGCCATTGACTGAGCAGCTGGATGTCTGACTGGTGCAGAATATTCGCGGTGGTCCTGCAGAGACTCTCCAGTTTGATCTCTTTCTTTTCTCTGTCTGCACATTCTCTAGAAAACAAGCAATGCACCACACTTTTGTATTTACATTTTCTGCATTGTATCCCATCATCTTATTTCACTTAATATGTGATCCTGATTTACTCAAGCTCATCTTTAATACAGTCCAATAACAGTTATTCTAATAACTCATTTGTGTCTCATCTCATCTATAATCTGTGATGTGATGCAAGTAACCTGTACACAAAGAAGGTTACTCATTTGGTTTATTTGCTTTTTACTCAAAGCAGGTTCCAGCACAGATGAAAGGACGGAGCCAACCATCCTTAGTAAACAACTGATTCCATATGCGATTCGGGGGAAAAGGTTGAACTGTTGAGTCATTTGCCATAAATGATGACATTCATTTTAAATCTATCCCAGTCTGCTTGTCTGGCATAAAGCCAGAGTACAAAAAAAAAACAGTTCTAAGGAATTAGTCAGTTTTTCTGTAAGCAAGCTTTTGTGAATCGTATAAAGGACTACTCCTCTCTGACTCAGAATTGTCAGTCTCCAATGTTTTTGTCAAGTGCTTTGGAAAAACTGTAAATGTTAAACCATCCACCCACCAGAGAGAAGTCTGCACAGAAAGATCTCAGCGCACTGAATCGCCCAGCCAGAAGCCAACTCAGCATTTCTTCTTTATTTACTAATAAACTACAACTCATTCTTTATCTAAAGGTCACACTTTTGTCATGGATCTGACATTGTGTCTGTGTGCCGCTCTGTTTCCTCATTCGCCTCACCACTTGCTAAAGATAGCACCATTAAACATCATGGAACAAAAAATGATTCAATAATGAAGCTGCTTTTGGCCTAAAATGGTCAAAGAAAAAAAAAAAGCTTCCCTGACGTCCTGACAGCATGTCCATGCTCAGATTTTGAAGAGATGTATGGTAAATGCACAATAACAGCTCAAGAGAGTATTTAACTGTTTGATATTTGTCATAGGTAGCCATAAACCAATAAATAACCACAAATGGCTGAGTATGCACTTTAATAAAACCAACCAAAATCTACATATTTGGATGGCTTTGGATCCAGATGTTCACTTCCCCAGGGTTTTACTGCATTGTACAGCAAAAAAAAAAAAAAAAAAAGAAAGAAAAGTTTTCAGCAATTTCAGCTGCCCAGCTCAAAGTGTTTTCTAGTGTCAGCACACTGCATCTGACTATAACAGGCACCATAGTTCAAGTCAAAGCTGAGATCTTCTAATACCATATAGCTGCAGAGGAAAAGCCATACAAGTAGAGGCCATAAAAGGCTACTGACTTAACATATTTACATTCAGTACTTAATTACCCAGAATAACCTGTGACGCTATTGGCAGTAGTGCAGTTAAAATAAGAGAAATCCTGGGACTGCTGAGCTACTACACCACATACTTTCCTCAGGAATGGAATGCTGCTGCTGCTCCTCAAGTCTGAGGGAGGAGGTCGCTGTTTTCCCTCACTCAAAGGTATTTTTTGAATACCTTGTAGTGGAGAGCTGACTCAAAAATATAGGAGGAGGAGAAGAGGGAAGGAGGGGGTGGTGAGCATAGTTAGAGAGCAACAGGTTTATGACTTCCTTTAGAAATCTGAAGTTTTTCTTGGCTAATGCTGGCAACGTGAGCTGACTTTCTGCAGATTAGTTTTGTAAAGTAAGCAAAAGCAGTCGCCAGCAGTATCTGTCTTCTATTTATGGCCTCCCCCAGGCCTCCCCCCTCCCCACCCCACCTCCCCAGACTGACGTCAGCACAAAGTTATTTTCATGAATGGAGGGGGCGGTCACGAGGAATCGGTGACGTGAGTGCTTGCGGAAGCAGAGCGTGGAATGTTGGTACATTGTTGTTGTTTTGTAGTTAATTTAGTACGAGGATACGCCGCTGCCCGTCTGTGCTGGACGCTTTTTACCAAGTTTGTCAACTTGCTTCACCGGTTGTCGAGGAAACATACTTTGACAGTTTTACACACTCCGGTCCACAGATATCTGAGTCCACAGAGGTGAGGTTGTATTTTTTTTAATTATTTATTTTTTTCGGAAAGATGTTTTGACATTCCTTTCTAAATTACTCGAGTTCTCACGGTGACATAGTGGCGCACGCAAACAGGCTTGTGTTGTGCATCCTCTTCGTAGGATAAGTTTTGATCCCAGTTATGAAAGCTCATGTTGATTTCGTAGATTTGTTGCTTTCGGGCGGACACGTGTTGTGCTGGAGATACATAATACAGTGCTTCAAAAGTGGCGCAGACCTCCGAGCAGTCGCATATAGGAAGTTAGAAATTGTATGAAAATATGTAAAAGGGGGAAACAAACGTGTGTTTTGCCGCTTTCCTGCGATTTGAAATGGTTCTTTGAAAATAACAGCAGTGATTATGACACTGACTGAATGCGGTCCCTTTAAAAAAATTATAGCTAATAAATTTTATAAACTGTATAACGAGCGAGGAGACGTTTTCGACCAGCATTGTGGGAGGGAAGAAAAATAAGACGATAAAAATCACACTATTTCTTCGCACTTCTCATTAAAAGTAAAGCTAAAGTTACAGAATGTGTTACAAAATATGTTTATATACTATTACTAAGCATGCCTGAACCTCTAAGGTTTTAGATTATAACTTTTTCTAGAACGAAAAAAACCCAAACCCCAAAATTGCATTTCCCCCCCCCCCCACATGTGTGTTTATTTATAGCATTTCTGTGACTTGAATGAGATTTTCGGAAAATGGAAGTGAAATAAACTTCCTCACTTTCCTATTGAAACAAATCCATGTACAACATTTTTCACATCCTCCTTAATTTTCGCGCTCTTCCCCAGCTCATGGCAGCGAGGTTGATAGCGGGTGCTATAATGCAGAATACCAGCCTGCTTTTGACATTGGAATCGACACGTGGTCTGCATTTTTAGACATGTGGGACAAAGGGCACGATGTGGAGTGGAGGTAGACCACCAGGGTTGACTAGCCTACAAGAAACAGCAGAAGGAACCCATATTTCCACAAACGATGAATCACTTTAGAGACTTTATCTTATCGCCGTGTTTAGCTAGAATTCCTGCTCTGCATAACTCTTAATGAATTGGGTAAAGATAAGAAAACCTTGAATTACAATGACTAATTGAATTTTTGACCATGGCTCTAAAATAGCTCACAATGATCTTCTTTGCAGTCTTGTATGTCCACCTTTCAGTTTGCCCTTTGCCATTTACTTAAAAACTTGTGATTAATATATGGAAAATATTTGTGTCTGAGTAACTTGTTCCGCTTAGATGGTCACAGGTTGATGTCTTGAGGGGGGGCTTTATGATTCAGTTGTTTCTGGTGGGTGCACACTGACTTTCAGTCTGAAGCAGTAGGAGCAGGGTGTGCTCCTGTCATGAGGTTAACATGTGGTTCAATCACCAAAGTGATGATATCTTTTTTGGATGGAGAAATTACAGCAGCTGACTCATCATACCAGTATGGGACAGTGGGGGGGGGGGGAATTCCCCTGAAGATGCAACATGTGGTCAAATTGTCTTCCCTTTGTTTCTCATTTTGCCGGACAGTGGTGATGGATGAAAGCAATGCAGAATGCGAGACCGTTTTTGTGGTGGAGTATTGTGAAAGTGAAATGTTTGTGGTTAGCAATGCTATGACTCACACAGAACACGTTGGCTGTGATGTGTTTTGCTCCTCTTACTGGAAAAAAGATGTCAAGTTTTGATTACTGACTGTGGAAGCCAGTGATTTTTATTTGCAGCCGAACATGCCAACCAGAGTAGACACAGGCAATAAGAGGTGACTGTTTGAACAGGTCTGCCTTGCATCTGTCAAACGTGACTCCCTGGCAGTTATATAGCATTTGAGATTGTTCCCTCTGCCACCGGCAGCGACTTGTATCAAGTCATTTCTGTCAGAAAGACTGGATCTCAAACCACTGCTTTCACCTCATTATGGTCAGAGGTGTGGCAAATGGCAGAGGTACTCCTGTAATTATATTGCCGGATTGTGTTGCTGGGAATTCTCTGTTGATTCCTGATGGAGCTGGATGCAACTCTTGATTCTGTTGTGATTCAAACTCAAATCAAATAATTCGAAACGTTTGCTCAACCTATCTGTCCTGAAAGAACATTATCGAAATCTTTAGGACTATTATTAGAAGTGACTGAATATTAATAGGTCTTCTTTTATTCACTAATTATTAGTTATAATTTAAAAAAGGACCGATGTGTCCACTTTTCATTCTTTACATCGTTCTGAAAACCAGTGTCGATGACTGGGAGAATATCTTCTCACAGATATTCGGTGAGATCTCCTCCCTTTCCGCAAGAAAGTTCCGCTGGTCATGCCAACCATTTCTGAGGTTCTCTGTACTTTTCCTTCCTCTCCCTGAAACAACGGGATTTTCCAGGAAATGTCAGATCAGGAGGGTGTGATTCCCTGCTGCTGGTTGTCGCTTTTACCAGTAAACAGCATGACTCACTGCTCAGCTATGCTCTCCATTTCCTTCACATAATATCCCACCAAATGTGCTGCGCTGGAGAAAGAGCAGAGTGCTGCGTGCCTCAGTCTGTGAAGAAATCTCTCCACCCCCCTCCCCTTAGAAAAGTGCAAGAAATGCAAGCGCTTTCTCATGAAGACTAAAGTTGAATGTCAAGGGCAGCATTAAGTCTGCTTTGCGCTGAACCCCCTCCCCAACCTGCACAAAAAGAGAAGAAAAACAAAGAATCCAGACAAGCCAGCTCTGCATTTATTAGTGAAGTGTGAGCGCATAAGTCTTTGATACGCTGTTTATTTTAGGGGAAGGCTGGGCCCCACAGTTACCTGCTGTAACTGAACAGCAGCCATGAACATGACCCGATCCCTGACTTCAAAAACAGTAAGCTATACTTTAACCACGAGGTATCGGTGAAGGAAAGGTACATACATTTATTTAACTGGCTTGGTCTCAGATGTAGAGCAAGGTTATAATGGATTTCTTGTCCCACAATTGTTTGCCTAGAGATGATTCTTTTTAAAATCACTGTTTTCTTGCTTCTGCTCTGGTTTACTTGCTTTTGAACTAGTTAAAAATATTCATAACATGCATCTGTACATCTTCAAAAGAACACAGCAGGCAACATTGTGCTTTTTGCTCAAATCCCCCAGCAAACAAGCAGAGCCGTGAAATGTTTGTGCTTATAGTGGATAGACAGTGGAGCATTTACTCCAGTGAGCACTTATTTGGTTATCAGTCATCAAAGGGGTGTCGTTAGGAATAAAACAGTATTGCTTGTTGTATATCAAAATGAGGGAAAGTGAATTAAAAAAAAAAATGAAGCACTTTGTTTACAATTTGTCCCTCAAAGGAACACAACAATAAGGAAGAAAGACTCCTGACTTCCACACGTAAGCATGCGTAGGCTGTTTTCCATTTATTTGGCCAAGTGACAGATGTGCGATACTTCAAAATTCCAGACATTTTGTGAAATTTGCAGCCATTGTTTTACAAGTGGGTTTGTCTCCACTCCACCCCCGTAGCTGAGCGCATTGCAGGATATATTCAGACTGCATGTTCCCTCTTCAGCGAAGGTTCGCCTGTGTGCATGTGAGGGTTTGCACATGTGTGTTCGCTCAGGAATGTGGTTTTGTTCTTTACCCGCCAACTGTGGCTTTTCTTTGAGGTATTTTCCCAGACTCCTTTCCTTACTGTTATGAAGAAAAAAAAAAGCCTAACGTAAGTTGTTTTCTTGACTATAGTGAGAGGACGTGTTTTGTCTGTCTTCTCTGTGTGGTTGCTGGGGTTTGTTTTGTTCTCTGGGGAAACTTTGGTGTCCTAATCAAGAAAGCCGTGTCCCTGTGCAAGTTGCAAAAACATAAGCACATGCCTTAAGAATTTCAGGCAAACAATCTGGCATATTGGTTCAGACTGGGGACCTCTTGTATAAAGATCAGAGAGGCCCCAGTCCGCTTTTCCATGATTTTTGCAAGGAACATACCCAGGGACCCCCCTCTGACGCAATACCACTTAAATTAGACCGTTTAGAGCCAGCTTGCTTTTGAGGAATGTTTTATTTTAGTTCATCATCTTTATTTGATGCCTCTAAAATCTCAGTTATGTAATTCTTTGCAGCATGTTTTGCAGATAAATAAAGGACATCAGCGAGCACACCAGATGTTCCTTAAATCTCTAAACCGAAGTTTATGTGGATTCTGTTTGTAGCTGTTCGCTCATTACACACATTTGCCATGTGTTTATTTTCCAAGTTAGGATTCTGACTTGATTTTCTATTTCAGGACAATGACTTAGTAATGTTTAAAAGACAAGAAGAAGAAAAAAGCATTTGTTTTTCTAAGTTTTCACTGCACTACTGGTCTGAGTTAGAATCCCCTAGAGGCCCTGTATTAACAGAAATATATATATATCACACAATGAACAGCCACACCCACAGTATTTTCTTCCACGAATGCTTCAGCTAATAGGTCTGAAGAGAATATTTCCCCTCTTACTGAGGGTATCACTTATCGCATTGCTCCCTTTAAATTGTTTAGTTGGCAGAAATTTGTGTCAGCACTGCGGGCTAAATATATCCACGAGCGTTAAATAAGGGCATAGGGCAGCTCAGGAAAGCCCAATGTAAGAGGATCCAACCACAGAGAGACGGCACTAAATCGATAGACTACATTGTCTCCCAGCAAAAATACATCAGTGACTATAAAGGAAACTATTTCTCTGTGACACTCTATCTTTAGGAATTTTCCACATGCTGCCCTGTAAAGTTCAGCAGAACTATAAATGTTATACTGATGTGATGATTTGCTTTGATGAGGAGGCAGAATCCTGTAGACTGCTGCTCTGTAAATCCAGAGATGTCAGATCAGAAGATAAATGATGAATTTAAGAGGGGAATTGAGGATTTTTGTACACAGGTTGCCTTGAAGTTAGCAGCACAAGTTAGTGCTGTTCTTTTTTTCTTTTGGTCTGTACTATGTATGGGCTGTGTTGCGGTTATGAATGAGACTTGTTTACCCTTTTGGTGACCATGTGACTCACACTCCCACGCCCATTTGCAGGGCGTTTCCATGGTATCTGTTGAGCATGGAACAGTGCACTCGTAGTCAAGCTGGTCTGTAGGTCTTGAAATGGAGCCTTTGGGGGATGTGTGCCTCTCACAGGATCGCAGCTCAGCGCTCTTGCTTTTTTTGGCCATGGCAGCAGTCTGGAAAGCATGTGGCTCACTGTAATGAGTACAGAGAGGCTTTTCTAAATACTGCCCTGGCAAAATCACTGAGGCAGAGAGCTTAAATGCAAAGTTCTGTGACGAGCAGGAGAGAGGTTGCCTGTTTCTAATTTTGCCTGGTCTAGTGAACTACATTGTCACGGCCCTCTTTTTAATATGTAAAGACAGACAAGCAACAGTGCTGACAATTAATAGAGTCATGCTGCCATCTGCTGGTATTTATGTCACTAACAAACAAACATGAGCACTGACATATGATGTAACCCTGGGATGTGACGTCTGTGCAGTAAACTTCTCGCGTATCACCACTGGGGGTGTCATTTCTGCTTATCTGTCATATCTGAAATGTCAAATAACATGTAAGTAAAAAATATCAGTATCTCATTTTTAAAATATAGTGCTTGAACTAAAATGCACTGTTTAAAATTCCTGTATGTTAACGCACTCTGCAGCAGAAGTAACCCGAGTAGTATAAACTAATGATATGCGCAAAGTAACACATGCTGCCCAGTCATTCTAGTAGAATAACTTCACTACCTCAATTGCTTCTAAATTGCCAACATAAGTAGCTGAGTAAATCTGCTTAATTGTAATTACTTTCGTCCATCAATAATATGTTCTGTTTCACTTACTTGAGGTCGTATGTTTTTTACTTTTCAGTGTCTTCTGTGAGATTCTGGTCATTTGTCTTCATGCAGGGAATGACGACTACTTTTAAGACGAGCAAAGCTTTAAAGGTAAGCATGAGAAGTTTGAAAAATGTTTTAGTGATTCACGCCTGCACACAGTTCTTCATGCACTGCTCGTGTCTTGCAGGTCAAGAAGGAGGTGGGTGAGAATGCCCCTGTGCTCAGCGATGATGAGTTGGTTGCCATGTCTGTGCGGGAGCTCAATCAGCACCTGCGTGGGCTCACCAAGGAGGATGTTGTGCGATTGAAGCAGCGACGGCGGACCCTGAAAAACCGCGGCTATGCCGCGAGCTGCCGCATCAAACGTGTTACCCAAAAGGAGGAGCTGGAGAGACAAAAGACCGAGCTGCAGCAGGAGGTGGACAAGCTGGCCCGTGAGAATGCCAGCATGAGATTGGAGTTGGATGCACTGCGAGCCAAGTATGAGGCTTTGCAGTGTTTCGCACGGACTGTGACCAGAGGGCCTCTCTCACCAGGCAAAGTTGCACCTACCAGCGTCATCACCATCGTCAAATCTACCAGCCAAAACAACTCCAGCCCATCCGCTTTCTCAACACCTTCCTAGTGTTGACAGGACTGGGCTCTCCTTTGCCTGCCTGGTCCTTCCTATTTCTGACCTGGTCTAAACCTACTCATCCCACACTGAGACGAGGCTCGGTAGTTAGACTGAGGGGTGGCCGGGGTGGCAAGCTCTATGTGATGTTATGCTGCATTCACAATTCTGTCTCCCTCTATTTGTCTCTTTTACACAATCTACATTGTCTGTGCACTGTGCAAACCCCCTTCCTGACAACCAGCACCGGCAGGTTATCGGGCCTCTGTGACCCTACCTCCATGACTAATAGCAGAGATTTGCTTTTACTCAAATTTCAAGTATTTGACACGCCTTAATGTGGCAGCACATGGTCTGGGACACCTCTCATACTTTATGATGTAAAGAATAAAATACGAGAGGTTTAAAGTAACGCATATGAGACAGTATGGATACTTTTAAAGTCTTTGCCAAATCACATTTTCTTTGTATAAATATTAATGAGCCTCTGTGTCTGTTGCCTTGAACAGTTCTACATGTGATCTATGCAATATCTCACATGTATTTTAACACAGAGGTGATATCTTTCCACTGTGAGGTCAAATGGACACTTCTTCAAGGCCACAGTTATCAGATGCCTTTGAAAGCTAGCCAAACGCGGCACCGGAAACTTATATGCTTAGCACTTTTAGGAGGTGCTAAGCAGTAAAGTCACTTGACTAAGTGTTTGAGTAACATGAAATCTTATGTAGAAATGGTTCTGAGGGATCTTTGCGTTATACTGTTGACAACTGACCAATGTTTAGCTAAAAAGCTATACTAGTCTTTTAACCATGATACCTATATAAGTAACTTATTTAGAAAGCAATACCAGTACAGTTCAGAGAAGTTTGAATGATGCAGCTAAAAGTGATCTAATCTGGCAGTTTTGAAGAAACACCTTAAATTAATATTTGGAAAGAGTTAAAATCACCCATTACGATAGAATTTGTCTTTGTCGGACTGGACTGTGTTTCCTTGTACAATATTCTGAAAAGTGCCATTTGTGCCTTCATTCCTCCTACTGGCAACTGAGAAAAGACATGTCTGAGTACCGTCAGATTTCAGAAGGGGTTCCGATCTCTCTTGTCAACTACATTCTAGTTGACAGATAGCTGAAAAGTACTGTTATGTTATGTTGTCAAAGACAGTGTAGGCAGTTGGAGCTGTTGCATGTGATTGCATTTGTGTGTTGCCCCTTGACTCAGAAGTTTCTTGATATATATTGTAGAAATTTTTTTAAATTCTGTTTAAATGGTAAACTTGGTCAGACTAAATTGCAAAACTGGAAAGTGATTAAGGAACATGCGTTTGACAATGGTGTCTTTCATCAAATAGCACTTAGAGAAGACTGTTAAGATACAGTGAGTAGAAAAAAAAAATCACAGGGCCACTTGTTTAAAGAAGGAAGTTACGCTTGCATTTCTGCAGTTACTGGAGCTTAACTAAGTGAAAACACAATGTGGTCGGACCACTTACAGGAAAGTTGTGCCGAATGTAACTAATGATAGTGAACTACTATCTGCTGAGGCACTTACTGAGTGGTGTTTAATCTCTTTTCTTTATGCAACTCTTGGTAGGTAATCCATATTGGATATAATAATAAGAGCAGACCTTTTAAGTATGATGAAATTCAAGTTGCTTACTGTATATTACAGACTAGAGACGGCAAAGCTCCCACCGCTTCTGTTGTCCCTTAGATTGAGAACTCCGTCCAAATAGAAATCATTCCTAATACTGGGTCACAAGAAGTGCTGCTGCCGGTGTTGGTATTTCCAAAACAGTAACCAGCTACTTTTCTTTTGACACGCTCTTCTACAAGAGAACTCCTGACGCCCGTCTCTAGAAACTGTGGTGTCAAGATAACTAAATGCAGTAAAGGCCTTGCTCTCATTGTACATTTTGTAATATTTAAATATGAAATTCACTTGAAATCGAGCTGTTCTTACCGAGAATCCATTCCCAATTTGGAGTGAAGTCAATAGATTGTTCATGTCAGGATTTTCTCTTGGCTAAGAGGACATGACTGTTCTTCCCCTGTTCCATAGCTGCAAAGAACAGTATGGGGAACTTTGCTGCTGTACAACCTGCTGTGATTTATAAGCAGGGGCATTGCTGTGTTCTTACTCTCATTTTGTATTTTTCATTTGGTTTGTGTCAATACAGCCCATGTTCTTTTTTTCCTGATACTTAGTTTTATAAGCATATACATTATATAAATATACATTATATAGTACATATTTTTCTATATTTATGTCTTTTACTATGCTGGGAGTGGTGTGATTATGTAATCGGTCTTTGAAGTCTAATTATATGAATGCTGAACTTTTCTCTTAAAAAGAAAAAAAAGGAAAAAAAATAGTATTCAAATTTACAACGAGAGAACTGTTTTCGTAACTTAAGTTTTGTGAGTATTTATGGCCCAAGAATAGTTCTTCTCAGCATATTCACAATGTATCTAATGCACGACTTGGACAGTAACTAGGGTTACATGCAGGCTGCAGATGACCTTCTGTAGAAGCTATCATATTTTGTCATGTCAAATTTGATCATTTCGAGTGTAACACGAAACACTGCCTAATATTAAAAGTGCCTAATTTCAACCAAGTGTTTAGTTTACAAAATAGGCTTTTGGGCAGCGTTAACTGAGGAATTATTAAGAATATTGCAAATAGAATATGAGGAAAATTTGCTCTTAAAACAGATCAACCTGCATGCAAACCTAGTCCGCCCCTGCAGCCACTAAACCTGGTATACTTTTCTAAATATGTCAAGCCAGAAATTTCAGTGACTGCAATGCTTTTGTAACTGCTTAACAAAAAACAAAACAAAAAGAACCCCAAAGCTCTTTTACGACTGTTCACCCAGGCCTCTTACAGATAAGGAATGTGTCAAGCCTTGGACAAATGAGTACATATTACCTGTTTACATAACTTATTTCTTGAGCACATTCACCTAAAAGGCTTTGTGGCTAAAAGCATTTTCTGCATAGCATTACAGTGACCTCTTGTGGTTTAGTTTCCAAGCAAAACTAAGCTACATCAGGGTTTCTTTAATTTTTAGCACTTATTACTGTATTTGAGTCTGAGGTGAATACTTTTTTAGGAGCACACCTAAATAATAATTACCTGAAAAAAAAAATAGTTTCAAATTTTAAAGTATATATTTATGTACAGTGCCTAAATAAGGACAAACCTTCCTCTGGGTGAATTAAGTTCTACATTTCAGTATGACCTAGCAGAGAGTTTATTCATGCTCTTTTCTTAAGCTACCCAAAAAAGTCTAGTAGACACACAAGTTTAAAGAAGGTTAAAGATGTAGATACATTAATGTAGACATGTTTATAGGTGAAAATAAAAAAAAACCTTCCTGCCATGAGTGAATACAAACCTTGGTTTGATCAGCTTTCTTTCTACATCGAAGTAAACCGCAGTTAATACCAAGGAGCAGTAATAGAACAGATCTTTTTTTTAAATCTTTCATACAATAATTATAGCAAATGCATGTACAGAAATGTGCATGCTTGTATATCTTGAGTAAGCATTCGAGGTGATCAGCTGTCTTTGATTAAATAAGCTTCAACACACAAGCTTTGCCAGTCCTACAAGCTATAGTATTTAACTTTAGCCATGTAGAAAGTCAGTTTTAATATTGTAAGAGTGGAGCATGTGTACAGATTAGGTGTGGCTAAAATTATGGATGAAATACATTGAATGTTAGTTTAACAGCAGCAACTTCTGCGTTTGTGAGTTTGAGATAAATGTCTCGAGGCTTATAGTGACTGTCAAATAGCAGTAAAAAGGCAGCATAAATTGAGTATGTACCATTCATGACTTGTCATTACTCTGCTCATATATTTTATATTTATTTCAATGATTTGTGTAATTTTATTAAAAAGAAAAAACACCTAAATTATTTTTTACATTCATTTACATGTTTTCTTAATGAACTACCCTCATGTACAAATAAAATCTATGTTGTTTCTGCTCTTATTTAATGTGTGGTAAATTTATTCCTATAAATAACGGTCACTGAGTCTTTTTTCTCATTAAAACAAAAAACATGTGAGTTAGAGAAGGAAACCTCTTATTTTATTTGGCTGATTAAGAAACAAGAATAAAACAATTTTGAATGTTTTTATACCCAAATGTATATTAATTTCTGCTTTCCCAGAAAGACAGGCATTATTGGCACAAGAGGGTATAAAAATTCACAAGCATTTGTTAGCCTCTGTTTTAAAACAACTCTCATGTTTGCTGAAGGGGAAAAAAAAAAAAGAAAAAAGAAATGAGCAAAAGTCTTTTTCTCCTAGCACAGGTTTTGGTTTTATCTAGGCCTGAGATACACACAATAAATATTAATAGGATCTTTAAAATTATACTCCAAACAGAACATATCATATCATATCAAAATAATCAAATTCTGTACAGATTTCACAATCCCTGGAACATGGAATCATAATGTAAATAGTGATGTCCACATGTCAGCCTAAAAAAAACAAAATAAAGCGCCACTAAAAGTATTTACAACACTGCAGGAACTGTGAAAAACAAATCTAGTAAACTGCTGTCTAGTTGCACTGAGTTTCACTCTTTAGCACACTGAGGAAATTAATGAGAATAATGTAACTCCCACACTGTAGGAGGCAGGTTTATCCAGTTTATCCCTGCTACGGTAGACACAAAGCATTGTGAAGTGCCTGCTCCAAAACTAATGTGTCTTTGAACAAATCCTTCCATTTGTCAGGAAACCGTGCTGAGGAATGCTCAGCAAATACTTCAAACAAGCAGATGCGGGAAACGGTCCATGAAGTGCCACTCCCAGCCATCGCTGGCTTCCCTGCTTCCCACCTGGAGTCACACATTAATCATCTCCTCTTTGAAACTGACATGAATCAGAGGGAGCACACTTCAGACGGCCAGAGCGCGAGCAGTGACATAATGACAGAATCAGCATCGGCGACACAGCTGAAAATCCAGCAGCTTGATTTAAATAAAACACAGCGCTCCAGTCTTCTCTGATAGAGTGAAGGCGACATGTCGTTTTCATGCAATTATTACTGCTGATATGAACTCAGATCAGATATCTGGCTATTAAGCTATTCATTTTAATACGTAATCCATCATGTGGTCAAATTAGCATTGAAACAGGACAGAAGTAGGAAGCTCATCTGAAATACTGGGAAACTGAAAATTAAACACCTGGGTTCAATCCAGCTTTATGCACTATAAGATAAAGCTGTTCCTCCAGGGGGTCAGCAACAGGGGTGGGAAGGGCACAAACACCTGGATCTTGCTGGAAAAATGCCTAGTACTCATCATCAGATGTAATCAGCATGATTTTGTCAGACTTGCGGGAGCTCTTGCTGCCTGTGGCCACTTTTCCATTTGTGGTGGGCAGGGTCACCTCCTGTGTGGATTGCTGGGTGTACTGCTGATAGGCTGGAGAGAAGTTGTGGATGGCATCCTGCACCATGTCTCCCGGGTTTATCGTTTCCTTCAGACCACTGGAAATGCTCTGCATTGGTGGGAGAATTTCTGTAGAAAAGCAGGAACGAGGACAGGGGCACATTACCGATCAGACAAAATGAGACTGCAATATAATTGCTTTAAAAATTTCACAAAAGTGATCAATTTGGCCATCTGAATGCAAATAAATGTGAAGGAAGTGAACATTTATTTTTTAAAAATAACGGCATAATACTTTATTAAATCACTGAAAATTTAAAAAGGAGTAGAGTTTTCATGTACTGACAATAATGTCTATCAAAACGTCCCAATTGCAATGCTAGCAATTGGTCACAAAAAGTAATTTCATGTCTTAAAAAACAACAACAAACTAATAAACCCTTAATAATGAATTCCAGTTATTGGTGGGATCAAGTTTTAATAATTTGTTAGTACTTCTAAATGTTCAAAACATCCAAACATCCGCTAATCTGTGCAATCAAGATTGTTTGATCATTGTATTGATTTCATTGTAGAGACAAAATGGTTTTTGATCTGGTTAAGTGACCAAAAATAGGGCTTGTCGCCATCAAGTGACTAAATATTTAATTTGTACTGTCTGTTTATTGTAAGACAACAATAAAAAATAAAAAAGGGGGTGGGGGGCTGGTAAAAAAAAAAACACACAGATTTTGGTTTCAGGGTCACTGGCTCAGGCTTACGAAGGTGTGCAACGAGAAGCGTAAGGTGTGGTAGTTAGGCATGGCTGACCAAGGTTTGGTGAAACTGTAAACCAGAGGGTGTGGCAACTTCTGAAATAACATATATCGGGACAGTGGCGCAGCTGCCCCTCTGTTGGTCTTCCTTGGTCTCTTGTGTTCTGGGGGCCTCTGGATGTCTGGAGTTTTGATCTCCTCCACACCTGCCTCACGCCCTGGAGGACGGGGCTGTGGCCCCCCCACACCCTCTAGCAGATTATTACATGAAGGAACCTTTTAAAAAAACAAAAAACAAGCGCGTCCATGCTCACAGGTGTACACACGGGTGATCACACCCACAAACTACACCCTTTTTGGCTCCTACCTCAAAGCACACTGTGTTCTGTTGATCTTATGTGCTGCACAATAATGTTTAACATTTAGTATTTACTGTCATATTCACATATATCATTGTGATGTTGTTTATTCTATTACTCTTGTTCTCTTCTGCTTGCTTTCTTTTTTCTTTCTCAGCAGGTGATCCAGGTGATTGATATATGCATTTTTTTTTCCTCTGCCCGTTCTGTTGGTTTTTGTCTTTTGCCCTTCTCCCCCGTCCCTCTTCTCAGCTGTTTCTCTTTCCCTCTTTCTTTCTCCCCTTCTTTCCCCCAGTCAAGTCTGTCCCGTATTCAGTAAGTGAAAATAAAATAAACAATAAAAGGTGAATCAAATGGACCATTACGGCAAGGCTGGGATGGTCAGTTTGGTAAAGTAAAATCCGTTGGGTATCTTTCTTTGCCTTTAGACAACAATTCTGATGGCAAAAGAGCCAAACGGGACAGGCCAAAAAAAAAAAAAAAAAAAAAAAAAAAAAAAAAAAAAAAAAAAAAAAAAAAAAAACAAACAAACAAAAAAAAATGAAATAACATATATCAACACCTGAGGAAATATGAATGTTATTGTCCCAAAGTTCAACTGTATTCTTGAACGGGGTGACTTAAAACTAATCTAATAATGAGGTACTCTATAGAGAAACACTGTTCTATCCAAGTGGACCACATTTCAATTCTGAATTCAAAGAAGTTTAAATGAAACTATGCCTTTTCATCAGCATTTCCAGAAATTGTGTATGGTACGAATTTTAAGGAATGTAGGATTTCCTATATCAGGAAACATTGCAAAATGGCAGAAGACACATCTTTTAGCTTCTATTTGCAATTTTCTTGCAAGCAGCATCGCTCACTTCATCCTTTTTAAAGTACAGTGCCTTTCCCCTCATTTTCCTCTGGTTTGCTCAAAGGCAAATTTTCTCTAACTTATTAGTCAAATTATATGCTCAGCAACTCCAACAGTCACATAGTTCAGGTTTGCACTAGATTTAACTCAAGTGCAAATGTGTAAATCTATAGCTACACATTTCAGTTTCTATATCGCTTAAATCAGAGGTATTGTGACTCCTCCAAGTTGCTGGTCTAAAGAGGTACAGGGCAATTCAATTACTTTTACTTCCCAGGCTTTCAGGCCAGTGTCACTCCTTATTCTCTAGGGAAGAAGGGCAATTAGCCTGGGAAGACGTCAACAGATTTTCAAGGCGAGGACAAGAGGTAACAATCAATTGTTTGTTGTTTGTTTCCTCTGTTCTCTGTAAAAACGACATCCCTCACCTGGCACTTCATTTTTTTTCTCCTGGTAGACAGTGCAGGTGAAGGCGTATCTGAGGGCAATGGCAGCAAAGAACATCTCAATGCAGATGATAAAGTTCTGCCAGCCTGCCGCCACAGTACCGGCGCCAACCTCGTGTCCGTCGATGAAAAGTGCATTGGGAATGACGCCACAGCGCTCCAGGATGGCGAGGACCATTCCTTCAAAAAGACAACATTTTTAAATCAGTTTATATAATTCTATAGACTGGCAAAGAAAAGAAAAAAAGGGGACACACACACTGAGCTTACCTTGCCAGAAGGATAAGAAGATGACGGATTTAATTGTGAGAAACTTGAGCACCGGTTCGTACGGTCTGAGCAGGTCACTTGTTGCGAAGAAGAAAAGGAATAGAGCGTAGAGGGCTAGGCTGACTGAAATATTGTAGATGATTGTGATATACAGGTATCCTCCATTCACACTGCATGAAAAGAAAGTTGGAAGAACGGCATAGTAAATTTGCAAACATATATAGGATTTTTTTTGATAGTGTCTACTTATTTGGGTTTTGGCTTCTTCAGCTCTTCAAGCTGACTGAAAAGAAGTGGCTTAAATTTGAGGACATTTCAGCCATATCGCATCTTTTTGTCCTCTTCTTTGAACAAGAGGTTAAGACTTTTATATATACACAGCCTTCTTATTTTTAGGATGCATCCAGTAAACAGACATTTTTGATTGTCAGCCTGCCTTTTTACCCTTTTTGCATTCTAGAGAGCCTCTCTGAGGATTCAGCTGTGACTACACTAATTACTCCCATGCAGTATACCGTGCACGGTTGGCTGAAAGCGTATAAGTAAACAATCTGTGAATCATTATAGCCTTACTGCAGAGCCTAAAGAAAGATGTGAAGAAAGACACTTATTTCTGACTGCCATTTTTCCTGTTGAAGTATATGAAGAAATAATAACTTTAAACTTCTAAAAAGCGGGCGATGATATAAAGCTGATTGGATACTTCTATAAAAAGCCCTCATTGAACTCTGTGCTTCGTTTTGAAACAAGTGTTGTCACAGCTGAATCTTCAGAGAGAGACGGTGAATCAAGAGGCACAGAAGAGCACCTGAAAATAAGTCGGGCAGAATTTACGGCCTGCAGATTTTATAGCTTTTGATTATATGCTAAAGCTAATTTTATTGAATATATCACACTCTCCTTGTTCTGTTAAAAACCTTATTGGCACATGTGAAGCACTAAAGTATGCTGTAATTAAATCTTTCTGTCTGCAATTTATCCCCAGCTTTTGACAGACAAAGTAAAAATGTGAAATGAAGCAATGCTTCTCCTCCAAGCATAACAGGAAAAGAATGAAGGGCTTTCATTTCAAAACACTACATTTCAGGGAAAGTTGCAAAAAGCAATAACTTCACATTATCAACAATGCCAATGAAGCTGTGAGTGTGGCTACACATGTGACACAACTGGGACAAACGCAGCAGGGCACCTGTGAAGTTTCTATCCATCAGTTTCAGCTTAAAATAAATACTTTTAATTCAACTATTTTCATCATGCCAGCTGTGAAGAGGTGATATAATTATCTCTATTTGCAAATTGTTCCCATGCACATAAAGAGCAAACAAGCCTTCTGGCTATCATGTGGAAGCATATGATACATGGAGAAGGAAATGCAAAGAGAGGTGGTGCTCACTTAAAATCTCCATCGTGATATTTGCCAAAGGCCTGCAGGATGATGGTGATGACTGCCATGATGGGTTTGACAACACAGAACTGGAGAGTCGCCTGAAGAAGAAATTGTAATTCAGAATGAGACATCAAGAAACTATGAAGGAGGATGTGAGAATCTGTTTGCACATCTGACAGACGAAAACAGTGGGTTATATCCCCAATCCCTTTAATGTCGTCACCAGCCATTTTCCCACCTCACAAGGTATGATTTTTTACATTATATGTCGTATACACCAATTCAGTTATTGTTTGTATTTAGTACAGCTAATAAATGTATGAGCTTACACAATTGCAGAAAAAAAGAAAGAAAAAACCCCCCACAATTCCATCTCCTAACATGGTAATAAACGGGTTAAAAGACAAATAACCGTTTTATGGTTTTATGAGGGGTTATGCACTGAACCATTTTTTGGCTCTGAGAAACAACTTCCTGGGATCTCTTCTGGTTGCTGGACAATTGCTCAAAGGTAAGAAACTGTCCTGCAGCATCGTCCCATAAAACAACAAATTGTTTTTAAACATCAGTTTCTGTGCAGAGTTATCATATCCAGTCTTTGAACTACGCTAACTGCTCTTAAATCAAGCTGACAGATGCTCTCAGCAACAAAACAAGCAGGCATATTTCATACAACAAATCATTGCTGTAATTATTAAAAGACTTAAAACACCTTATCATTGTAAAATATTAATTATTTGGCTAAATTAACCTACAGGATACATGTTTTAATGCTGATCTGGATGGAAGGTGGATGAAACAACAAAGTAGGCAGCGAATTGAGACCTGCATGCATGCATGCATCCCAAGAGTGACAGGTACTCTGTGTTGTGTATTGAAGCCAGAACTAACCAATTTGAAAGAGGTTGCTCTAAACTCCCATCACTGCCGCTACACTTGAAAGCAACAGACCAGGTCTTTTCAACTTGAGGGATTTCCAGTGACGATGGTCAGCTTGGCAAAACGGCATCGATAATCGTTTAGAACACCGATTTACTTTGAAGCTCAAGTACCAGCAGTTTTCACTTACCGTACACCTATTCGAGTGCAAGCTTGTCACCCAAGTAATTTGCATGATACTTCCTGCCATGCTTAAAATTGAAAACAAAATACACGGCCATAGTTTGCAGTGGATTAACAGTCAACCATGGTTTCTGGTTCAAATTAATTCAGTCCAAGCAATCCACAGTCTTCATACACTTAAATACTAATCTCAGATACATGTGAGAGTGCACTGCATGATACATATGTAAGAGGACACTGTAATTCTGCATGTTTTTTCATCTTGACTAACAACTAGTCAGTGAGTCTCTTTGCTGTTTGGTGTTAACCATGTAGATTTCACACTACACACTAGAAGTGCGATAAGAAACAATCAAAACAGTAAAGCTGAGGACACAAAAATATTGTGAAGCTCTTCAAAGCCCTGGAAAGCTGAAGATGTATATTATTCCTCTGCCAAGGAGCTGAGATGGAGGTATGTTTTCAGAGCTTTTCGTTTGTCTGTCAGCAGGATTACACAAAAAACTACTAAACTGAGTTTCATGAAACTTGGTTGAGAAGAGGACAGTGGGCAAAAGAAGAATCTTTCATTTTACAAACAGATCCAGACATTTCAAATTCCAAAACAAGGCATAAGCTTTGGTGAGGATTCGCTCACAGAGGGCGACTTCATGTCAGCCTAATTCAACTTGTGATTACAAATTTGCACATTTGATAGAATATTAAGTACAGCAACCTATTAAAATGATCAAACTACAACACTTTGTGGTCATACCATGTTTTACTGCACCTTATTTGTTTATTTGGAAGCAAAACAGCCACAATTCACATCCACGGGATTTCACTTGTGCTCAGTTTCAAGAAAATGATTCCCCAAAGCATCCGACAATGAGATAAATGACTTAAAACTGAAATGTCATCGAACAGTTTAGGATGTAAGAGCAGCTTATCCTCTAACCTTATCTTCAAGAAACACCATGACTCCAGGCTGCTTTTTCATATCAGTATTTCATTTGTTAAGCCCCCTTATAATCACAAACTGACGCGTTCTCAAAATGTGCGAAGAATTTTAATGCTCGTTACACCCGTGAATGTAGATCGAGGCCTATCAGATGTCACGTTCTTCCAGTTTAAGTACTTTCTTGTAAAGAAACTCACAGAGAACAGTATTTTCTTATTCTGAACCACAGCTTTGTGTGATCGATATGAAGTGCTTCAGTGATTTAGTTCAAATATATTAATATGTATGGCAGCCACTTAAGCTTGTTTGGAGCAACTGTCAATGACTTTGCTTTGGTTTACATAAGCAAAACAGAATTTAATCAGTTGTAAGGTGCTAGATTTATAGAAAGCTTAGTATTAAGCCCTTTCTCTAGGCCTACGTTTCACTGATACACAACAAATTACAAAAAAAATACTGGAGTATCTGGATCTATCTTCTTCTTGTCTTGTCTTAATTACCCCCTCGTAGAGAATTATCTTGTTTATAGCTTTACCTCAAAGAAATTGCAAGATTTTCCTTTTAAAACATTTCATGGAGGACTTCTGCCAGGGCACAATGAGTGTTTATCACTTGCTTCTTATTAAAAAAATGTTCATTTTATGCATTTTCTTTTGAAGACAGTTCTAATATCCATCAGTGTTAGACTGGAAGCTTGTGCAGCATCCCAAGACACTGGGATGAAGCACTGCGCTGACAGCTCATATCATCGCTCTGTGTTTATTATCAAACTGCTTTCACCTGGCCTCGATTGCTTTTGTTTTCCTTTTTGTAACCAATGGATGTTATCCTCTGAAAAAACACAGAGCCAATTATAACAGCTGTCATTTTTAAGCAGTCTGAAGACTCGAAGTGAATAATAACTCACAGTGAAGGGTTTTCGTTTTCTTTTTTTTGGATGTATTCTTGTTTTCACTTTGTGCGAGTTTATTTCAGAGGCCTGAAGGAGAGTTTTTAGAGCAGAGATAAAAGCATGATTGAAGCTTACCTGTTTGCAGAATCTCAAAAAGCCAATGGAGTAGCTCATTCCAACGAGGCAGCAGGTACCATACAGACAACTTGATCTGTCAAGTCAACAGAACATGAGGAGTTTTTAAGTTGTGTCAATACTGAAATGTCTGATAACAAAATCAAGCAAAGTACACAAAAGATATTTTTCAAACAAAAACTCAAGACATCAATTTGTTCAAGCTTTTGTGGAGATTTTACATTTTATCTGGCTATATTTTAGATTACTGTGAACTGAGTATATTTGGGCTTTGGATCATTGGTTTGACAGAAAAACACATTAGAAGGTATCACCTGGATCATGAGGATCTATACATATCTATATAGGTATATATCTTTTTATTATTTAATATTTTTATTTTTAATTTTTCAACTGTTTAACTCAAATATCTAAATCAACCAATGGCATTGCAGCAATCCAATGCATTTAGGCATGTAGACAAGCACAGGATAACCTGTTTAAATTCATCTTCTCTTCTCCATTCAATCATTAGAATGTAAAGAGTAGTGCTTTAAGAGAATTTGAGCTTGGCATGGTTGTTGGTAACAGCAGCTGGACTGAATACTTCAAAAATCGCCCATCTCCTGAGATTTTCCTGCATCTCTACGATTTACAGAGACTGGTCCAAAACGAAAATATCCAATAAGTGTCAATTCTCTGGGTGAAAATGTCTTGTTGATGCCAGGTGAAATGGCCCAACTGCCTGAAGTTGAAAAAGGCAACAACAACTCAAACAACCACTTGTTAAAACCAAGATATGCACAAGGCTATCTCTGAATGCACAGCACATGTAACCTTGAAGAAGATGGGCTACTGCTGGAAAAGAACACACCGGGTGCCACTGCTGTCAGAGGAGAGCATGAAACAAAGCTGCAATTTCACCAGAATTGGAAGATGAGAACTGGTCTGATGAATCTTAGTTCCTACCTTTCGGACGGTAGGGGTGTTGGTGAAAACAACATGAAAGCACCGATTCAACCTGCTTGTATCAATGTTTCAAACTGGTGGTGGTGGTGTAATGGTATTGGGGATTTTTTCTCGGCAGACTTTGGGCCCATTGGAACCAAACTAAAGATCGTTTAAATGTCATACCTTATCTGAGTATTGTTGCTGACAATGTTTTCCTTTTATAGCATGGTCAGCAACCATTTATAGCTTTATATGCAGTGTGTCCATATTCTGATGGCTGCTTCTGATAATGTCACAAAGCTCAAATCAGAGTTTCCATTGAATTCCTAAAGGGTGAATGATCCTTAAACAAGATAAGCATTATACATCTTGTCTCCACCAGCTCTGTCAAGAAATACCATCATTTAACAGAGATCAGCATTAGAGTCTGAACACACTCGAGAAACTGGCCCAGACTAGCTGCCCTATGGCTGAGTCAGCCATAAACACAGCTTATGAAGACTGGGTAAAAGCAGAGAGATAAAGAGAAGCCTCACCTATGAACAACACAGCAGTTTATTGGTAGCACTTTCACTGTGCTGTTCAAACAAAATGCTAATTCAAGAGTAGAAAACGCACTTTGGACCTTTTGGGATCATAAAAAACAACTATAGTTGGTTCCAGGTGAACTAATGTATTTATTACTCCTAGGTCAACGTAATCATTAACACTAAAAAGCTTTCCATCATGTACATGTAACATAGAACTGAGTGCACTCACTGTATAGGCTTCCCTCGGATCTCTGACATGATTGCACTCTCTCCTCTCAAATACTCAAAGGACAGGCTCAGGAAATTGTAAATGACAAAAGCTGTAACAAAAAAGGAAGAGTTATTTGTCTTTTTACCAAATTTCAAACACATTTCACTGAATAATTTAAACTGTAGGATAATTTTCCATCACCTTTAAGTTTAACTTCACCAAAAAGGTCAAATCATTTTAGAGGAAAAAACTTTCACATGATAAAAAATAATTAGTCCTACATTTTATAACAATAAATGTTTTAGTCCTTACATTAAGAAGCTTCTAAGGGTTCTGTGTCTCGGAAATCCCTTCCTAATCCTTTGTTGCTATTTAAAGAGGGATTAATGAAGCTAATGCAGATGGTGTCCAGTCAAGAGAAGGTTCATTATGTTTTAGCCGTAGCCGCTGGTGGTATTCCAGTCTTCCTGCTTCCTGATGCACCGCACTATCAATCAGCCACAAAATTGGCCTGCAAACTGGAAACTAATCGCTTGAATAATGCATTTCCTATTTTTCTTCTTTCTCAAATTACTTGTAATCCATTTTGCATATGATTCACCTTTGCCACCGGTGAAGTGCTTTAGTCTCAAAACTTCAATTCATAATTATAGGTACACTGTAGAAAGCGGCTACTCTACCTAACTGCCACCTAGAGAACAGGGTTTAAATTAGATTTGCATATTGAAAGTTGCTGCAGGATTTTCAATATCAAACCAAAATAAATTACCTTTCCTGAAAGACAAAACACTGCAAACCAGGGAACAAAACAAATTCACCAAAAAAAATTCACCTCACCCTAAAAATGTAACACCTGAAATAATGAGGTCTACGCACATGAGAACAACGACTGCTGTGAAAAACTAGTTTGGTTACTTCCTTGTGTTTCTACTCCTGGCAGCCATATAAAACAAAGGCAGGGAAGTAACAATGACTGCCCATGAAGAACACCATCACCCACAGTACTGGTTCTTGTGATACTTACCTTCATAGCAGTCTCGGACAGAATCAAAGTAGACATAGTACTGGTTGTTGCTGATGAAAAGAAGGCTGAGCCAAGAATCAAAGGCATAAACTGGCACAATAAACAGGATGCGGATGATGTAGCGCTGCTCATTTGGGACGGTGTAGGATCTAAGGTGTGTATAGATCTGCAATGAAAACATAGTTAAAGCATAGGAGAACAATTAGGAAACAAATAACCCTTTTATTGCCAAACATTAATACAGAACCACAAAAAAGGGTTATGAATTCAATAACTTCTATAACTATAGAAGTGATGTCTCATGGATTTTTTTTCACATTCTGTCTCTCACAGCTGAAGTGTACCTCTGGTGCAAATTACTGACCTCTGTCATCATTTTAAGTGGGGGAACTTGCACAATCGGTGGCTGACTAAATACTTTTTTGCCCCACTGTATTTATTAGAATAGTCACTAGACTTTGCATAAACATGAAAAGGGTTAAGGATTTACAACAGGGTTGTTATTAAGTGGAGATGATTTATTGGTATGATGTAGATCATTCAAAACACCAAGTTTTATATGTTAAATGTCAGTATGTTATTAACTTAAAATCAATATGTTTATGTATATCAGTAGCAGAGATGAAGATCATATCACATTTTATGACCAGGTATTTCAAGAGTCAATTCAGCCTCCATAAGGCTTAGATTTTTTTAATCACTGCATACTGATAATAAACTTAATAAAACTGTAACTCACCATTGTTTAATGTCTTTGGACTTTGAAGTTTTTACTTTATGGTTACTTATCAAGCTTTTCAGCTTATCAGACATCCGTAGTGGAGAATGGTAACATAGGGGTGATAACTAATTCATTTTTTTTCTGTAATATACTTACATATCTATATTATTGCTAATATATATTGTAATATATCTATATCATGGCTAAAGCACTTCTGGATGGATGCAAACTGCATTTCGTTGCCCTGTACCTGTGACATGTGCAATGACAATTAAGTTGAATTCTATTCTAATTCTATTTTTCTACAGAGAAGAAACAATATAAACCACAAGAGTGTAAACACTAAAATGCCAGGCTCCCAAGAGCAACCATGTCACCATTTTCTTTTTAATCTGGATGGTATTCCTCGCCACATTGTATCTTGCCCTGACTGTTCTGTCTGCCACAATGAAATACTAGAAGCATGTTGTGTAGAATAAAGAGAAATTACCTAACGCCCATTTTAATGACCTCCCCAAACAAAGTTACTGACCACACCTTACATTGTACAGCTCTTAACAATATGATCGGTAACTGGACTTGGTTTCAATTGAATTATATTTAAAATGTGATGTAGTGTATCTGGCAACACACACATATCACATGGCAGACAACTCAGCTGTAGTTTTTAGACTTTATATAAAAATCATCACCTGACAGGATAGTTTTACAATCATGTAAAACAGTCGTGTTCAAAGCGCCTACTTAAAATGAAGTATGGATAATAAAGTTAAGAAAGTGACTGGGTTTTACTATGTGTTTATGTTATGAAAAAATGTTAAATGTAATTGTTCCTTTTGATGCTCTAAAGGTGACGTAATGCAATGCCACCACGGAAGTACTGTCTACCATCAAGATTAAGAAATCCACAGCAAAATGCTGCAACATAAAGCAGTTGGGAAATATGGTGGTGGTTATATCCCAACTGTTTGTATCACAGAAATTTAAATTGATACAGTCTTGTCAAACTTATAATCATAGGAGCAATTGAACACAACAAAACCCAATGTTTATACTTATATCAGATTAAAACGAGTCTGTTTTGTATAAGAAAAACTTGTTCACAGGTTCTGTGGTAATATAAAGATAACGCCTTTAATAAGCAGCTAAACAATGGCTGTTAGTACTAATATATAGTAGTGAGAAAAGGTTTGACCCCCCCTTCTGATTTTTTATTTTTTTGCTTGTTATCACATTTAAATGTTTTAGATCATCAAACAAATTTAAATATTAGACAAAGATTAAAAAAGGTAAACACAAAATACACTTTCTAAATCAAGACGCTTATTATTAAGGTGGAAAAAAAAATCCAACCCTATATGGCCATAGAAAAAGGGATTGCCCTCTGAACCTAATAACTGGTTTGACCACCCTCAGCAGCAACAACTGTTTGATGAGTCTTTGACAACACTGTAGAGGAATTTTGACCTACTCATGTTTTTAATTCTGGTATGACGTTCCTTTTCTGAAATGCTGCGTTACTTTCCGCCAGATGTAATAGGATAAACCTTCCAAAAGATGTAAACCTTTGTCAGTGCACAGAATATTTTCCCAAAATCTCTGGGATCATCCATTTGTTTTTTGGCAGATGTGAGATGAGCCTGCGCATTCTTTTTGTTCAGCAGTGGTTATATCCTTGGAGTTCTCCAATGGATGCCATTTTTGCCCATTCTCTTATTTGTTGTTGAATCATGAACTCTGACCTTAACTGAGACATGTGAAGCCTGCGGTTCTTTCATGCTGTTCTGGGTTATTCTGTGACCTCCTGGATGAGCTGTCAATGTGCTCTTGGAGCAATTTTAGTAGGCTGGTCATTTCTGGGAAGGTTCATCACTGTTCCAAGTTTTCTCCATTTGTGGATAATGGCTCTCACCATGGTTCACTGGAGTTCCAAAGCCGTAGAAATTGCTTTGTAACCCTTTACAGACTGATAGATGTCAGTGACTTTGTTTCTCAGGTTTTTCTTTAGATGTGTTGCTTTTGAGATCTTTTAGCCTGCTCAACTTTGCCAGAAAGGTTTTATTCAATGATTTCTTGTTTTTACAGTCGTCCAGTAATCAGGCCTGAGTGTGTTTAGTGAAAATGAACTCAGTTTTCCATAAAATGTGGTTAATCACAGTAAATTCACAATTTAACATAAGCGCAATGACATATTTCACACAGGACCAGGTAGGTTTGGATAACTTTTCTCCCTTAATCAGTGAAATCATCATTTAAACACTGCATTGTGTATTTATTCAGGCCATCTTTGTGCAAAATAAAATTTGTTTAATGATCTGAAACATTTAAGTGTGACACATATGCAAAACACTAGGAAATCAGGAAGGGGCAAACACTTTATCACGCAACTGTAACTTCAGTAACTGCAATGTAAAGGTTCTTGATTTTCAATTAACATATTTTTTTTCAATATCTTGTAACTAGAAAAAGTCTATCTAAAGCCATTTTAATTTACAAGCGCTTGTAGTGCCATTTTCAAAGTTACTTTTTACCTAGACAACAGTAAGAAAACAAAACATGCCCAGCTAACCTTACAATTACTGTAATTAATTACCAACAATTTGAAGCAAAAAGGGTTCTCTTGCTTAAATGTATTATTTAAACATCCAAAAAGTGTCTAAAGACGTATAATAACACCCAAATTAGCATATTGGGGTGAGGAGCTTGCAAAGTTGGAGTCTAATCAATGAAACAAAATTGTAGGTGTGCATTGGAGCTAAAGAAGGAAAAAAAGCCACAAGCAAAGCAAACCATTTGCTACACAGCATCCATTGATATTTCTTGGTCAAAACAGTTACTAAACTTATGAGCATCAACTATATTTACATAAAAAAACAAGAGTTAAAATTTACTAATGAGCCCAGTTAGAGAGGTTGTCACTAGGTGGAGACCATTTAGTACTGCGGGTACTCTACCTAGAAGTGAGTTCTGGGCTACAAAACCACAAGTACGTGGTTTTTAGCGGCTATTGAAAATCATGTCACATTTTATGACCAGCTAATTCCATAGGGCTCCCATACTTCTTGTCAGAAGTCATGTATACTGATAACAAACTTAATAAAACTGTAACTCACTTTTTGAAAATGTCTTAAAAAAGGAAGTTAGTGATGTGTAAGTGTCAACTTTAAGCTTATCAGACACTCTTATACCGATAATAACTAATGTTCCTTTTGTTTCTATAGAACAGACAAGACATATCACAAAGAGTGAACACAGACATATCAAACTCCTGAGTGCAACCATGTCATCTTTTTCTTTTTAATCTGTATGGTGTTATTTCTTGCGGCACTTTATCTTGTCGCGACTCTTCTGACTGCCACAATGGAATACAAAAGGACAGAGGCATGTTGTCTAGAATAAAGAAAGATAATCCACCCTCCCACACCCTCCCAGAACATTCCTGCTACTAAATTACTAACCACACCTTACATTGAGGAGCTCCAACTTAAGTATATGTTCGCTATCTGGACTTTGTTTTAACAAACTGGTAAAAAGTCTTAACTTATTATTTTTACACACATGTGCATACACATACATACACACACAGTTGCCTCTATAAACATGGTTGACGACACGTAAACTAACACATGCACCATATGGCAGACAATTCAGCTATCATTCTTATCAGTGACCTTTAGCTTTTAGACAAAGCTTTACATAAACACGGAACAATTATTACACCAGTGAGTCACATTTATTGATTACTACTGTTAATATGGTTAAGAAAGGGATTGGCATTTTCCAGTCTGCTCTTAAATAAATAAAATGGAAATAAAACACATATCTGTTAGATAAGTAGTGGAAAGTCTGAGGAAGGTTCTTCCTTTCAGAGCTCTTGGGTAATGCAACGCTAATACGTAACCACAGTGGCTAAGACTGTCAAGATTAACAAATCGACAGTAAAACTTGGGAAATATGGAAGAGTTATATCTGTAGTAGTGTCTCTTCAGCTAAAAAATAAAATTTCACTGAAAAATTAGTCAAATTATCTCCTCAGTATTGCTATACTATTGCTGAAAATGGATGCAGTCAAGCACAAAGACCTCTTAAAGTAGAGTGATTAATAAAGAGAGACGACATTTTCTGGTAATAACTCAAGATTCATTCTTCATAAAATGACAATTTGAAGAAAAAAAAAGGACTAGCAGTTTAAATTTCCTCAGTAAACGCAGACACTTATGACTCATCAGTCAGATACCTCTATATGAGAGGTAATCCAATTAATCCCACCAAGCTCATGTCAATTTAGCCTAAAAATAAAAACATTATCTCAACTCTGACCATACCGCCTCCAATATTTGTATGATTATTTTTGTGGTTATTTCTGGATTGGCTGTAGCTCATTAGGTGGAGTGGAAGGGTGATGGTTTGTTCCCCGACTCCCCCAGTCTGCATGCCAAATATCCTTGGGCAAGGCACTAACCACAAGTTGTTCTCTGATGCATCCATCAGAATATGAATATATGTGAATGTTAGCTAGAAAGCACTTAAAGGATAGAAAATGCTTCTGTGAATGGTTGAATGTTGTATAAAGTGCTTTGAGTGCTCTGGGAGAGTAGAAAGGCACTATATAAGAATTAATCCATTTAGACCATTATTTTTGATCTTTTTAAATTGTTAACTGAATAGCTTCAATTTAAAAGGTTACTAAAGACTTTAAAACAAACATTGTTGGACATTAGAAAAGCTGTGATGAGATTTTTTTAATATAATTTTAGGGTATCTTATCAAGACAAATTGACAAATCCAGTCACTCAAAAAAGAACTGCCACATTAACTGATACAGAAAATAATTACAACTTCACCTTAGACAAGCACACAACTAGTCTGTGGATCACAGAACTTTCTCTACATTAAATGAACTCTAACCTCGTGTAGAGCATAAAAAAGAAATCCTTCAGATATATCATTTTCAGTCATTTTTGTCACAAATTTATGCAAAGCCAAAAAGATGAGTGCTTTGACTGGTGACGGCACTGGTGTTTGTGACAACCCTTCAGTGTACGTGGTAATGGGTGTGTTTAAAAGCATTTTGCAGCGCTGTAGGAAATTGAGAAAATTATTACCAATTTAATTTTTTTTTTTCACATGAATGCAAAAAAATGGCATGAATGGATCTAAAAATCTCACTTATAGCACTTTACTCAGCACATCCCCATTTCAGCCTACACATTAAAGGCTGATTACTGTGAAAACGGTGGCCATCATTTCACATATAGTGAAGCAGATTGTAGAATGATGCCCTAAATTTGCTTTAAAACACAGAAATATATATCCTTTCTGACTCCGCAGGCAAATCGTAGTTGTGTGATGAAAAATGGCTTCAGCCCACAGTATGGATAAGGGAAAAATGAATACACAAATAAACTAGAACAGGACTGAATCTAAAGTATACATGGTAGCTAAAGGAGAATGCCTCCTGGAACACATAATACAGTCATAAAACATGACATAAATTCAGTCTGATGTTCTTAATCCCAAATGCTTCACGTTTCAAAGGGACCAATAAGCCCACCATACACACACAAACTTCACAGATTGCTACTCCAAAATGCACTGGAAACATTATAGCAGAGGATCTAAGGTCATCGTCGATATGTGTTTAGTATTCAGAATGTGAGTTTAAGAGTCTATAGCAATCCTCTGGAGCGGAGTCAGATGAAACACCACCAGCATTGCAACACTCCTCCTGCAGACCGTTTTATTCCCTCCTGTGCTACACAAAGGATGTCGGTTACAAGCCAGCATCCTCCCTGTGGAACACTTGTTGTTTATTTGTTCAATTAAGATGTCTTGCTGGCAAGTGTTTGGCCAAACATGTACTATATTAAAAAGATAGAAAACCAATTGGCTCGATACTGTGTCACAAATCCCTAAACACAGATTGCTTTTGAATCACTGATTGCAACATTTTAATGCTCTCTATGTCGCAAACTTATTTATCTAAATAAATAACGTGTCTTTCATTCATCACACTACCTAATATAAATATGACACTGTATACATTTAGTCCAATGATTCTGGATGGGTGCATAATCAGTATTTAGGCTATAAGATCAGTGAACATGAACACAAAATCCTCTTCCTTTATAATGTGGAAAATGTTATTTTAAAAAAAATCAGTTTGTTTCCCTGCTGATGGTGCACAGCACTCTTTGGCATTCACTATGAGTGAAAAAAACATAATGATCAGCTATCATCTCAGCACAGCGGGCACATCAACCACACATGTGGAAACACTTCTTTGCAGCAGTGATAAAATGGTTTCTGGGTAAAGGTAGTCTGTGGTGAGCCACTCATTCATCGTGGCCATGTTCTTACCCATACAGAGAGGGCTCACTGTGCATTCATTGTCCTGTAATAAGCTTGGGTATTTTTGTCCGTTTTAATCTAGTAGTCAACAACAACTAAAAAGTAAAACAACGCTCACACTCACAACAAGTGAGGAAGTCCAACCAAGTTAGGGACTAAATTACTTGCTTGCATGGGAAGAAAGTAATACCTTTAAATTAGATAAGAAAGTGCCAGGGTGAGAACCAAAACAAATAAACAGTAAAAGCAGGGACAGTGAAGTCAGTGCACTAATAAGCCTTTAGGAATAGAATAATTTGTTTTTGTCCTCTGGACAAGGAAGTGCAGCAAATCTGTTTCTGTTACACTAAAATGGTGAGCTGAACTCTTTATGCGTTTGCATCTTTGAGCGTGTGATGCTTTGTAATGCAGTGATTTTAGTTCTTTTCACGTATTTACAGTGATTTACATGAAAGCCTTTTGTGAAATGGTGCATACTCACCTGGTGACAAGTTATTAGCAAGGCAGACCAGACGAATATCCCTGAAAGGACCTGGGCAGCCACTGTGTTTAAAAACATCCCATTCTGTATGATTGCTCCGTTGCCTGATACAATAATGGTCATGTTGGACATGCCTGATTTTGAAGCATCCAGGGCAGACGAATTATTTTCGGTTAATGAAGCCATGTCTCCCGAAGAAAGGTTAATCTGAAACAGAAAGAAAACACACCAAGTCGGTTTAGTTTTTTTTACAGTGAGCACACGGCCCCTCTGTGTTTGACTGAGTGACTGCATGCTGCCCATTAGGCACAAGACAAAAAAGGCAATAGTGTTTGCTAAACGGACACAAGAAGTGCCATTTTTAAAGAAAAGAGATGAATGTGGTTCAAATGATCTTATCGACTCGTACCTTCTTTACAGTCAACAAAGAGATTTCCTTGTCCCGGAGAGGGCGGAAGTAGCTTTATCGCGTTTAGAAGTCACTGTCCACGAGCCAAAATTACACGACGAGCTTTAAGGGTGAAATATATTTTCAGAACAGCTAAACGTGACAATTTAGGCCCATTTACTAACCGCTCGTTGACTTCATCCGCGACGCAGTCAACAAACTAGACTTCCTTGTTTGAGGCAGGTGTCTCGCAGAGGTCGAAGTCCACACAGTCGGAGAGCATAAAAAATGCTTCTATAGAGTATACAAATATTGCGATAGAACCCGAATTTACTGCGAGATGCCACGAAATAACAAATAAAATTATAAACAGCAGAGATTTGAACGTATCCTCGAGTGGCGACTCTGGGAAGCGGCACAAATCAACAGGTTTACAGGTGGAAGGTTCACGTGACCTGGACTTGACGCCTGTCGTCATCACGTTACTTCAGTGACAGAAAGTGCGGCACATTTCCGCTCACAGGTGCGCTTACACCTGAGGCTAGAGGCAGAGATTCGCATAGAATTCAGTGGTTACGTGAAAGGCACATCAGGATCACCCATCATCATCATCTATGACACAGCCAAGGATATGCACCCAGACCCCAAGAATTATCGGTGAACTGGATGATTGCACCGACTGTAGCAGCATTTGCCGGCCTCCTCTCATATTATATACATCATGTATAACAAGACCACTGACTGTTGCTGCAAGATCACATAGACGGTGGCAGGACTTTCTTTAAAGGAGCCTGGACCAACAAACTCAGTGACACCTTGGTGCTGGTTTTGTATAATTAGACAAACATCATCTTATTCTTTACGTTGTCATATTATTGTAAAGTTTTTGTTATTGACTTTCCGTTTCTATGGGCTCTGCCTTCTGCCCTGTTTATGGGGAAAAATCTAAGATAAGATTCAAAGATGAGATGGTATTCTCTGATGGATTTAGATGAATGCTCAAGTGCACTAAAGCTCTACTAGCCTCTCATCAATGAGGAGCGCCCCTATGCAAAGTTACATGAAACAACAGGAAATTGGATAAACGCAGTGCTTTATTATGTTCTATTTCTAGTTCTACATTATTCATTTCTTTAGATGTTTTATTTAATGATGATGCTTTGACAAAAGTTGATAAATTTATAGTTACTTCTTGTCTTCTCTTCAAGGCAGACCCTAGGAGGAATTTGAGGAAGGTTACTTGGCTATGAAGATAATAAAATATGTAAAATATGACCTGGCCTCATTAAGGGAACATCGGGTTATATGACAAAAAGTGCTATTCAGTACCTGTTCATACTATTTTTATGAACTCACAACTTGTGACTGAATATTTAAAAAATGTTGTCTTTGTCTTTTCCTAATAAGTTTTCCTTGACGTTAGTATAAAGAATCATGAGGGCAATAAAAGCTGTGAAAGAAAATAATGCCCAGTGCTCCAAAAATGCTTGTGCTTTATTTTACTTGATAATGTGACAGCGGACATTGTTGATGTGACTCATTTAAACTATGTTGGCTGAAATAAGAGTGAATAACAGTGAAAAATATCATTAATTAAAAAAATAAAACCAAAAAAACCGTAACAGGAAAGAATTCAGTTGCTGCTTTGTTTTCAATCTTATACTAACGTTAGTTAATTTATGAATATATTTTGAAACTGCAACAAGTTGTTTAACCCACAGGCAAACTATGACCACAGCACTTTAATAAAATCGGCTGGTAATGATGTTGTTGCCCTGTGAGAAGCACTTTGTAACGTTGATTTAGAAAATTGTCTTGCTATACAAAGATAATTAGCTATAATAAAATGATCAAAGTGAAGAGGGCTGTAGTGTATCTCAATTTGCATTATGGCGTTGCTGAGAAAATGCTAATAATACTTACCCTTAACTTGAATAACCTAGTAATTCAAATAGCCTCGTCTAACCTGCTCAGAATAACTTTCGGTTTCAGTTCTGCAAAGCCTTCTGCAACTTCCTGTCAACTGCAACTTAGACTTTCTAAAAGACACACACACTGTTTAAACCTCTGAATACAATATCAATGCTGTAAATTATATTATTAATGCAATGGTAATGATGATGATTATTTAACAATAGCAGTAAAATCATTTCCCTGCTTCACAAAGTGCAAGAGTTAAAATTGATCATCTCTTTAAATGGAAAGCAACCATATTTATTTAAGTTCATTTCTTTTCTAAATTCCAGCCTTGGTAATCAAGTGATATTATATCACCTTTATTTATTTCAGACAAGAAAAGTCCCTATTATTATAAAAGGGAAAAAAATAACAAAAGTACTTTTGTTATATTTATACTGTCTGCAGACCTATGAAACAGAACAGTGAGATTACATGGGTTGGGTTTTCTCAGATAGGCTTTTTGTGGTCAGTTTTTATCTCGACAATGCAGTTTCAGTATTTCAGTTTGTTTAAATCATATTTTTTGAGGCAAGTTCTTATTGAACGTGAATGAAAACAAAAACATTAGAAAGGCACAAATTGTTTGATTTAGGAGAAACACAAGGAATTCATCACGTTTTAATTTAATACACCATTGAAATGTCTGCTTAATCTTTTGTAAACATGAGAAAGATATTCTTTTGTAAAGGAAGAGCCTGGAATATGCTCAACTCAGAAAACAGGTAGTTAAAAGTTTTCTTCCATGAAGAATGTTAAAAATATAAGATGGCATTCCTTTTAGTTTCATTTGATGCACTTACAAATTCACACACTCAGGCACTACTGCTGTGCGAACTGGTTACGTAATGCTAGTCTGTGAGGGTTTTAGTTTCATGTTTTAGGATGAAATTTGGATTAAGATACTAACATTGAAAATTGGACATAAATATGCAAATTGCTTTATTAAATAAGGTGCATTTATATTTTTGCTACATTGATTTCAACAGAACATGTAAACATTACATTCTTGAAATGTATACTCTGAGTTATAGATTATATACATTTATGTTTTAGGATAATTCAGTATTTTTGTAATTTTCTCCCTCTATGCCACCACAGTTTTGTCCCATTCCCATTTCAATCAAACAATCAAGATATGATAGAAGTAGCAGGATGAATTGTGAAACGTATAGTTATACTCTCTGCTCAGATCCAGCCAAATGCTGCAAAACTGATCAGACAGTGCTTCACAGCACAAATGGATAATGACCCAAAGAATACTGCAAAAGCAAACTAAGAGTTTTTCAGGGCAAAGTCATGGGATATTCAGCGTGCAAGCCAGTCACCTGATCTCAACCCCATGGAGCATGCTGTTGCGCTACTGAAGACAAAACTGAATGCAAAAAGGCAGTAACTGAATGTAGCTAAAAGTCTGGAAGAGCATCTCAAGGTGAGAAACATTTGGTAATGTCCGTGGGTTCAATACTTCAGTCAGTCACTAAATGCATTTTAAGCCTCTGAAAGTGGGAGAGGCACTTTTATCCAAGGCCTAACTCCTAAATAGTTGCAAATCAAAAAGACAGAAAACCAATTGCAAATCATTTTGTAAAACCACTTGAATTAAAGTTGACAGTCTGCACTTCAATCACAATTTCACTGCTTGACTTAAAATGCCCTGTAGGAGTGAAGCGAAAAAAAAATGTGTCAGTTTCCAAATATTTATGGACTTGACTATACAACTTCACAAATGTAACAAAAATGTAGTATTTGTATATTACTGTCAGAAAATAAAATAATTTTTAGATGGCTATAATAAAATAATCTTTTAAGAAAGCTGGTCATTTTTCTCTGAAATTAAAGGAATATTTCAGGGGTTTGGTCTATAGGTCCAGGATAAGACATCTAAAGGCTTTTCTTACTCCCATCTTACATTTAAACCAAAAAAATTGACCAAGCAAAACAAAATTGAGCATATTAATTACATTTAATGCATATAAAAGTTAGCTATTGTTCTAATATCAAAGCTCAAGTAGTGAGATGTTATAGAACAAATGAATAACAAAATGTACTTGACAAAACCAAGGCTCTTATCTTAACCAAGCTAATATGCATCTTTAAATACAAATGAATCATATGTTCTATAAAAGGCTTTTTTTCACAAAAGTACAAAGTTCTGAGGATGATGACAAAAATAATCCAGAGTGTTAATAATGAAAAAAATATACAGCGATGACATCATTTTGCAAACCATCACTTAGCACACATTGAGCTTTTGAAAGGAAAACAACATGCAGAAAATCTTTCTTTTTAACAAACAGTTAATTATGCGTTTCATAAATTATGTTTTGTGGAAGACAATCTGCTCTGCACATTTATGTCTTGGAGACATAATTGTTTTAATCAGATTAATTTTTGGAGGAGTTTCATTTTAAAAAAGATGCAGAGATAAAACGTGACAGTGTATCCAGACGAGCTGTATTTTACGCCGCCTACAGGCTTCATGTCCGTTTTAATTACTTCCTACCAGACTTGACAACTTTTGATCATCTCTTTAATTTGTTTTATTGCATCTATGGAGGAATCCTTCAGTGCCAGTCCCAGCAAGACAGGCCGGTTGCCAGATTCCTGTGACACGAACATTGCCAGGTTTTTGGCACAGACATGTGTCAGAGGCTGGAAAGAGAAAAATCAGGCATTAGATTATAACCAAAGCATTATTTGTTCAGTTCGCTTAAATCACACACATTATGACTACAACTAATTCATTTGTTGAGGTTCCCCTGCAGGGAAATCATACAACACACTTTAATTTTCTGTGTCATGACTGTAAACTTCAAAGCGCGCAGAAAGCCTGTGTAATGACCTCTATGTACTTTCTCACTCGATCTAAAACAGTTGTTCACTTTACAAGAAACAAGCATTGCAAGTATCACCATTTAAAATGGCTAGAGGAGCAAAAATAACAAAAAAGTATTCATAAGCAAGTAAACTTTGTATTAATCCAATAAGACACTGATACTACTTCTCCTGCAATGTATGACTGTGAGAAAATGACATGCTCATGCAGAGATGAAATAGGTTTTCTTGAGTAAATCTTAACAGACCACTGAGCTTCAGGCCTGCACACATCTAATTTCGCCACAATCCGCCTGAGCAGTCCAGAATCAATCTCATTTGCCCTTTAACGGCATGAAATGAGATACCCTGTGTTGCAACAAGTCTGCCTGATGTCCCGTGAACAAGTTTGCATCACACTGACACGATATTTGTGTGAACAATTTCAGCCAGTGTACCTCATCTTTGCCCAGCAGTACTTTTGTAGAGAACGTTGGGGTGCTTAGATCATTAGATCTGGAGTCGGGTGTGACAGAGATCAATGTCCCAATTTTGCCATACTGAGTGAGAACTACAAATATGTAATTACTGAACTCTGTACAGACGACTTCTGTTGGAATTCCATTGACTTCTCTCTGAGCTTGTTTCGATCTGATGACAGACTCAGACATTTTGTTAACCCTGCACAGAAAAAAAAAGACA